TGTGGGGTTATGGGTTATTGGTTCACACTCAGGATGGGTTGGAGAAAGGAAACTCACAATTTGCTGTCTGTATACATATTGTATTGGATGTACAATGCAGCTTGGTGCTGGGAAGTGGCAGCGTGGTTAGGAGTTTGCTGGTTCGGGAGCATGGAGTAGAGAGAGCTGGTTGGTGAGGGTGCTCAAAGGAGGTGTTGCTTGCTGCGGCTGTAGCTAGAAGAAGAGGTAGGTCACCACGAGGTGAGAAGGTGATGTCTTATATAGCGGGGATAGGCGTGGCTTGATGGTAGACCTCCGCTATGTAGGTGGCGCTGGTTGCCGACCTTGACCACGAGGCGCAGGCTGGGGAATTCGAGGGTTGGCTAGTCAGCGACACACGGTGTTTGTAGGGGAGGAATTCACTACACACCTACTGTGTTTGCATATACGACCTGTCCACTGGTAACCAGCGGTGAAGGCTGGGAAGCAGCGAGAGGGGGTTCATAACATTACCTTTACTTTTATTTTTATCCTCTTCGCCACTGATCGGCTTGTTAGCCGCTTGGGCGATCGGTCACGTCTCTTTTCATTTATCTTCTTCACCAAAAGATCGGCTCGCTAGCCGCCCGGGCGATCGGTCACGTCTCTGTCACGCACTGTTGGCAAATACTGGGCATGCACCGCTCACTGAATGTACCTGAACCCGCTCCAGTGTTGGTCAAGTCTTGTCTTGAAAGAGCTCACACTCGGTGCCGTCACAACACTCTCTGGTAGATTATTCCAAGAGTTTACAACCCTCACTCCGAAAAGGTTTGCCCTCACGGTTTTCTGGACTTGCGGCTTCTTCAATCTTGAGCTGTGACCCCTTGTGGGGCGAGCGTCCGCCAGCTCCAAGTAAGGACACTCAACTGAGTAGTGCCCCCTGAGATGCTATACACCTCAACTAGGTCACCCCTTGCCCGTCTGTAGTATAAACTAGGCAAGTTCAAGCGCTCCAATCTCTCAGGGTAGCTGAGGTGCCGAAGTGCAGGCACCAGTCTGGTGGCCCTCCTTTGAACATTTTCAACCAATTGGCAGTCCCTAGCATATCTCGGGGACCAGATGGGGTGACAGTACTCCAGATGGGGAAGCACTTCACTCCTGAAGAAGGTCGTTCAGATATCTAGACGGTCCGTCTAGATATCTGAACGACCTTCTTATAAGACCCAATAATTTATTTGCCTGATTTACCTTCTTCTCACAATGGCCGGAGAACTTCAGCTCATTGTCAACATACACACCTAGGTCCTTCTCACACACAGTCTCAACTAGCGCAGTTTCTTCATCCCGTTGGGACATATGATACGCCTCCTTACCGTTGGTACGCCCCAGGTGCATCCTCTTACACTTCGTGACATTGAATCTCAGCAGCCATTTCTTCGACCATTCCTGGAGCCCACAGAGGTACTTCTATACTGCCAGATTGGGGGTCACTAATACTAAGGGTAAATACTTAACTCTAAACTTAATTTCTAAGGGTCGCTGCTACCAGACCCCCTTTGGACAGCATGTAGCTCGTTAGGTAGCTCGTTAGGTAGCGTGCAGAGTGGACTAGGCATTGGGTTAGGTTTTCCATTGACCAGATCGATAAGGGGAAAGAAGGGTGAAACCATAACATGTCTTAATTAATTTATTCCTTTTAAAGCATACTGGTAAAAAACATACAAATGAATTGGTCTTCCTCGGAAGAACAACGAAAATGTTGGTTACCCAGATGGGCACCAGACTCTTACATTAATGGCGTGTCATCCACCTACTTATTGCCTAACAATCTGTGAACACCTTACCTCGGTCATTCCTTCTTACACTATCCCTTAACACATCAGACAGCTCCACCTGCATGGAATATAGCACCGTCGGTTATCATACATAGTAGCACCATCTCAACACACATGTTACACTCCATACCTGCAAGTATGGGACTCCTTGTGACTTTTAGGTATACACAACAGGCGCCTCGTTCGCACACCGCCCTCGGTGGGTAAAGACAAGGGCTTCGCCCAGAGACCTACCAGCACTATTTCTACGCCTGGTATTATATAGGTCGCTCCAAGTGACGACCGCAGAGTTTCTCACGGTCTCCTTATTTGTGACTACTCATTTGGAGTGGTGTGCTGGAAATCCACAGGTTCACAGTGGATTGGCATAGCTGGGAGTAGTCACCACCTGTTGGGACGCTCATAGGGATAATGGCTGCCGGGCGGCAAGGCACTCCTACCGCATGGAACCTGAGGTGACGGTAGAACGGAGGGTACTGAGAAATAATGCCTGACGGGCAGTTATCACACCCCCTAACATATTACTATTACACTTATATATCAGGCAAAGCTTTAAACTGTAATAATTTCCATATAAGCCTTAATTATAGGGCGGGATATAGCCCGATAGGACACTGACCTGAGGTGACGGTAGAACGGAGGGTACTGAGGGCAGTGCCCGCCGCTCCTCACCACATAGGCCTACAGTTTCCAATCTTTAATTTTTACTTTTATTTCTTACGGTTCTCACCTGAACACTTTTCGGTATATTGTCACTCATGTCTTATAAACACATATTTTAATCCTAAATTACACACTAAGGTAAGGTCTTGGTTTGCTAGTTCGTGGGTAAATTCATTGGGTTATAATATCACGTGGCACCCAAGGCGGGTACATGACGCGCCTTGAAACAAAGGCTGAATGTTCATGGCGGGGTGTATCACCTTCACTTAAAACTGTAATGAGGGATCCTCCTCTCACACATTGCACTATTTGAATACAGACATAAAATTCTCTGATCACTGTACCTGTCGTGGATATATGTCACGTGAGGATACGAGGTGTATTAAGTTCATACCGACGCCTACAAGATATTTCCTTTCAAGTATAGTTTCTGGATCACTTCCGACACTTCAGATAGTTCTGATACCTTTATCCCTTTTCCAGATCATTGTTCTCATGCATTTTCATATGGTATCTGTGGAAGTTATGTTCGCTACACGCTCACAGACGTAAATAGTATGACCTTCAACCATGATCCACACTTAGTCCTACAGTACACTAGCCCGGCTCAACTGGACTTTAACTTTCATCTTATGGATACCCTGAGTTCTCCTTAATGCTATGAATACATACACTTAATATGATATAACTGTACCTGGGTACAATACAACACATGGTCTAGTAACATTGAGTAGGTGAGTTATCCTTTATCAATGTTTCCCGTTTTCTGAGGTTCTACAAGCGCGGTGGATTTGAATGTTATATAGCGTAATATGAATTAAATGGGGTTTTTAGGAATGACAATGATGTGCGCAGTACACTTCTGCAGCTCTTCACAGTCCGCTTGGTTCTTAATTTCCCGAAATAACTTGGCGTCATTGGCAAACATTTGTATGGAGGAGTGTACAACGTCAGGCATGTCATTTATGAAACAAACAAACACCAGCGGGCCCAATAAACTGCCCTGTGGTACCCCACTTGTGACAGGTACAGATGACGATTTCGTGCCATTAATCATCACACACTGCTTGCGGTCATGTAGAAAGTCTTCTATCCACACTAGGACATTTCCCCGAATTCCGTGCCCTTCCAGTTTGATTTTCAGCCTTTCGTGGGGTACACTGTCGAAAGCCTTGGCAAAATCTAGGTAAATACTGTCGACATTACCACCCCGTTCCAGAATATGGGTCCAAATATCCAATACCTTGAGCAATTGTGTTAAGCAGGAGCGCCCCGGCATAAAACCGTGTTGGCAATCTTTTACAAGATTGTTTCGTATTAGATGTTCCATTGCAGCATCTCTGATAATACTCTCAAGCACTTTACATATTATGCTGGTCAGGCTCACCGGTCTATAGTTGTTCGTGGAGTGACAATCGCCCTTCTTGAAGATAGGACTCACATAAGCCACTTTCCATTCACTGGGGACCATTTGTTCATCCAGCCATTTACAAAACAGGATCGGCTTGGTATCAAGCCACCGCTAGTTGGGATGGCCAATTGGCCATTTAGTAGAGTAGGTAAATATCATTATCCCAGATTAAATATTTTTCAACTGGTTGAATACCACCACCTTGGTTAAATATTATCACAGCCATAATATAATAATACTGTAATTAATCACTTATATTCAGTCAATTTGACCAAGGACAGCTGATAAAGCCATGAAAAAGCTTGTTTTCAGTAAAGTCCTTATGCCAGTTCAAAGGGAGAAGCGGTGACCCACCCAACGTCGCTTCTCTCGGACAAGAAGCGTGCAGTCAAGAAATGTACGTACTGCAAAACAGCCCCTGATAAAGACTATCAAGAAGAACATTGGAGGGATCCTGCACAGGCTACTAGTCGTTTTCCCTTAGCATGGACACAAGCCACCTCTTGTTTAGGTGGCTGTTAGATAATAACATGAATGTAAAATACTATACTAAAACAAGAAATAACTGGAACCTCCTCGACAGCCCCGTAGATGGCCTACAGCCATTGACCAGTTAGGAATATTTTGCACCAATTAAATTACATTTTTCAAAAAGTTATAAAGCATTTGACTCATTTCTTTGTTTTATGAGTCTTTTTTTTTACATTTGACATCTATGTATGCAATTTTCAACTATTGTTTAATAAAATTATAGATAATTACTCAGAAGAATTTAGCATCAACTTTGCCTCTACTGCGATATGCCACATACTGCATTTTTTTTAATGTTTATCGCAAACAATCAAGGCATAGCAACATTATACATCATGTTTATTCTGACAAAAAGTACATAAAAAATAGTCCGTATTTCATTATGGTTATGTCAGTCAAAATAACGTATAGATAATCCCATATGGCGATGTCTTGGTGCTTTTCATATTTGTGTTCGATTACTTGCCTTGCGGCGTCATTTATATTGATTATAATAATATTTGTTTTAATAGACTCATATTCTCCATTTATTATCTATCATAAATAAAAACTCATATATTTTTAAATGAAATATCCCCCGTGGTGACAAGTAGAGTATATATAATTCTAGTAGAGGAAGGAGAGGTGACGCCACGCCTTGAGACAACATTATTGACCGCTAACGCCATTTTGTGAGGCAGGAAGATAAAGCCCATACCACAGCGAGTTAAAGTGATTCATGGGCTACAAAGGATAGGTAAGTGTATATATAATTTTAAAATAAACAATTGTGGATATATTGAACATACGTGTGAGGGTTTGAACGTTTGGTTAGTGAGAATATACTCTAATTAAGACAAGTGGTTGTTGGAGGCCCGGGTTGGATCCATCTTAACGTGCGTTGTTGCTAAAAAAATAAGTTAGTATTAACGTAAAAGAAACACTAGTACTTACAGACTTTTATAGGATATGTGTCTTGTGTCCATGATTATTGGTTAAGTCGGGCACGAGACTTGGCGATGTTTTATTTCAGTATTAGACCGTCATGTTTATAGGTGGATTAACAACCAAGAGAATACAAACCATGATAATTGTAACTTCTCCGATGTTTGATGAGTTTCGAACGAATTTGATATTCATTTCTGCTGAAAATCAAGTGTTTTTGAGACACCCCCCCCCCTCACCCTACTCATCAATCCTAACGAAAATGTATTTTTATTCAAGTAAGTCACAAATAAAAAACCAACAAAACAAAACCTAACCTAACCTAACACTATTGTTTTGATGAAACTCTGCAATTGACGTCAAATAATCTCGATCACAATGTCGGCACAGCTCTTTCCACCTGTTAAGTCATATCTGGTTAATCTGGTACTGAAAAATCAAATCTCCGCTCCCGACACACCCATGCATTGTTCATTGACCTAAGACAAACAACTCTTGCCCAATTATAAGTCTCCTATCGCTATAGCCAATAAGAAACTCCCACATTACCCTTGCACCTGGCGACACTTGTGACTGAACAAATCTAATAATATTGAAAAATTAATATCTCGGTTATCCTTAATTTCTGGCAGAAATATCGCAGAAGAAATAGGTCTTAGAATTGTCCAAACATTACGAAAAATATATTAATAACAGTGAGAGAAATACCGGTGCAAGATCGAAAATTCACCTTAATAAAAATTATATAAAATTTTTTTATTTTAATTCCAAGTATTTTATTTTTATTTTTCAGTTTTTTTCTATCTACACCCATAACTCACCTGTACAGTAGTGGGCAGGGTATGAAGGATAAGCAAAATTGTGGGGTAGAACGGTGAAAAAACTGATCACACTAAAATGATGTCCATGCCTTGTACATGAAGAAATTACCTGTAGTTATTTATCGTATATTTTCCGCCAAAAAATCTGCCACATCAGCGTGTGTTGTCATTCGCTCTTTTTTTTGTTTCGGTGCAACAACTTACCTGCTCAATCTGAGCGTACTCTCGCGTTGATAAAAAACATAAAGTTCGCCATACTGCTGCAGAAAATTGCATTCATATTGCCAGATATGAAAGTAAGTTCTGTCATTTTATTATGCCTTGTGGTCAGTGGCTAGGAAATTAGGGAAGGTAAGGTTGGTAAGGTCAGGTTTTACTAGGTTCTGTGCACATATTCACATAATTTTAATTACTCTCATCAAAAGAACATGAAAAAAAAAAAAAAAAAAAAAATATATATATATATATATATATATATATATATAAATATATATATATATATATATATATATATAAATATATATATATATATATATATATATATATATATATATATATATATATATATATATATATAAATATATATATATATATATATATATATAAATATATATATATATATATATATATATATAAATATATATATATATATATATATATATATATATATATATATATATATATATATATATTATATATATTTGTATATATATATTTATATATATATATATTTATATTTTCTCTAGTAAATTAGGTACGAGTTGACATGTTAGTAATGTGTGGGCCGAGTTGGTTATTTAAGATGGGCCAAGTTGGAGGTATATCACAGCAGCCATATACTAAACGTTGAATAGTTTATTGGTACAGCAGCCTAAAACACATGCGTGGTGGGAAGACTATGCAATGGTAGTTCAGAATTACAGTACAGTAAAGCCTTGAATAACAACGGTAGAAAGTGTCCTCCAATATTGCAGTGTAAGGTGAATCATCGTATCGTAAATAATTAATTGCTGTTAAAATAAAAGCGATAATAATGAGATTCGTTCCCAAGTGTGACCTTTTCATGTCTTTTGTGTGGCTTTTTACCCTCTTTTCCCCAAAACAATAAAATAAATGAAAATTGCAAACTATGTTCTTTAAATAATGTTTATGAATGCTCCTTATGTAATATAAATCAAAAATAATATGGTCACACATAGGCACCGACTCTATTCAGAGATAGTGAAGAAAACAAATTAAGTGAGATAGTAGTGACTAGTAACGATGTTAGTCAGCAAATAGACAAACTAAAGCCTAATAAGTCACCTGGTCCCGATGAGATATTTGCCAGAGTATTAAAGGAATGTAAGGAAGAGCTTAGTATGCCCTTAGCAAAGTTGTTTAACATGTCCTTAAAACAGGTGTAGTACCCAGAATCCTGGAGGATAGCAGTGTAATACCAATTTTGCAAGAAGAGGATAGATACTATCCTCTAACTACCATGTATCAGTCTAACATCAATAATGAGCAAAACCCTGGAAGCTTAATCGACTCGCTCTCAGCACCGATTGATCAATGATTCCCAGCTTCTAGCCAGACGTTCTTGCCTAACTAATCTATTAACATTCTTTTCATCAGTTTTCCAAATGTCAGTGATTGGGCCGAGGGGGCACAATTATGATGTGACCATCTACCGACTTTAGCAACCGACAAAGTCCCCCACGAAAGACTAATTAGAAAGGTAGAAGCTCATAGCATCAAAGGTGACATCATAAATGGATTAGAGTGGTTACAGGACAGGAAACAGCGAGTGAGCTTTAGCGGCACTGGGGTCCCATTGGAACAACGTCACCGTGGGTTCCCCAGGCTCGTGCTTGGACCATTATTATTTACTATATGCATAACGCGACATAGATATCGGCATAGACAGCAACATAAGTAAATTTGCTGATGACACTAAAATAGGACGTGTTATCAAATCTGACGAGGACTCGGCAAAACTACAGGAAGATCTAAACAAATTTTTTGAATGGTCTGAAAAATGGCAGATGAAATTCAATGTCGACAAATGTAAAATACTCAGTATAGGAGATGTAAACAGGGAAACCAGATACCAGATGAACAATGATGCCATAGAGAAATCCGACTGCGAGAGAGATTTAGGAGTAATGATAAGTAGGAACCTTAAACCAAGTAAACAATGTGTTTTTGCTCGTAACAAGGCTAATAAAGTACTTGGGTTCATACAAAAAGAATTTTGGTTACAAGACTAGAGATCATCCTAAAACTGTATCTTGCTTGTGAGACCACACCTGGATTCGCAGTTCAGTTCGTCACCGTATTACAGAATGGATATAGAATCATGGAAAGAATTAAGAGGAGAATGACAAGACTAATCCCGGGCATTAGGAACCTTGAGTATAGAGACAGGTTAAAGCTTCTTAATTTGCACTCCCTTGAGAGACGTAGAGCGAGGGGCGACCTGATAAAGGTGTATAAGTGGAAGGCAGGGCTAAACAAAGGTGACATTACAAAGGTACTCAAACTATCCAACCAGGAGCGAACTCGTAACAATGGTTTTAAATTAGACAAATTTAGATTTAGGCGTGAAATAGGTAAACACACTGGTTTGGGAAACAGAGTAGTGGATGAATGGAACAAGTTACAAATATCATCATTAACTTTCGAATACGCTAGTTGGCTTCAGAAACACTTATAGGTTGGATGCTTATATGAGCAATAGGGGTTGGGTGTAAACGGGACTGCCCAGTATGGGCCAATAGGCCCGCTGCAGTTTCCTCCATTCTTATGTTCTTATGTTGTATTCGGTGTTTACACCCATGATGTCAATTATCCATCTGAAAATGGAGAAAATAAGACCCTGGTTGTGGCTGTAGTGAAATTAATTAAAAAAATTATGTGTTTTAATTAGTGTTATTTATTGTACAATAGAAGTAACCACCGATGGTAAAGAAAAAAATGAGACTGATAGTGGAACGACAACATATGTATGTGAGTACTCATGGAAACAGCATCATTTTTCTTGTTTAGAATATGTACAAAATACTGTATTCTTTATTGATTATTACTGAGTAAATTTGTATTAATGTTTATGTATGCAAATGAACAATACAATTCATTAATAATATGTAGCATATTAAAACACACAAGAGGAGATGGGACAGCATTGTTTTCATTAGTGTTTACACCCGTGACGATGGTTCTACATATGAAACTAAAGACAATAAGACCCTGGTTGTGGCCATAGTAAAATTAATGTAAAAAAAAAAGAACGTATGTTTTAATTAATGTTATTTAATGTAAGTAAATGGAGCAATAGAAGTAGCTTATTACTAATGGTAAAGAAAAAAGGCAAGACGGATTTCACAATGCCCACGTATGAAGTGCATACATGTGAAAACATAGCATAATTTCTCTACATAAGAATATGAAAGGGAAACTTATTACTGTTCATATGGTATGTTTTAATTGATACAGGTACTTATGAATGTAAAACAAAAATTCTACTCACCAATGGTGGTGAAGTCGAAAACATAAGGACAGCCAATGTTGTGTGAGTTTTTACTCAGATGACATCAGGTTCAACTCTGGCTGAAGCTGTAGCTTTCCTTAAAGATGTCAAAGCTGTTGCTGAAGCTGTTCCTGAACCTGTAGTTGTTGGTGAAGCTGCTGCTGAATTTGATGGTGTAGCCGAACCTGAAGTTGATAGTGTAGCCATAGCTGCTTTCTTTTTCTCATTATACATATTTGTCGGGGTTATATGCGTTTTTCACGTCCCTGTTAATTTTAATGCTTCGTTCTGTTAATGGATCCACTTTAGAAAATTTGTTCATTGCTTGCTCCATATAATATCCACAGACCTTTTTCATATCGTTTTAACACACCTACAGTAGTTTCTCGGCTTAGCTAATACACTTTCTCTTATCTTTTGAACCAGCACTACCGTCACTTTCTCACTTGCTCATGTTGAATAGGGATGCAAAAAATGCCGTAAGAAGCCTGAGAAAGTTTTACTTCTGTTCCTGTTCAGATGTGTGAAAACAAATGGCTTGCCAAGCTGCAACTGTTTATGCTAGTGAGCTGGCATTACCCACAAGCCCGGCAGCCTCCGTTCACAAGGCGTGTATTTTTTTTTTTTTTTTTATTTTTTTATATACTGTAGTATAAAACATATCGGGATTTAGTTATTATTTATATGAAAATTTCTTTTTATTTATTATATTTTCGTCGTAACTACAAATAAAATATCAGTGTAAATTGAATTGGGTTCTAAATTAAACAATGTTTTGAATACAAATCGTTTTTAGAACCATCGTTATTCAAGGCTTTCCTGTATATGAAAACTTCCTAAAGTTACTGGTTAACCTGCGCACTTTTAAAAGTTATTAAGTCTAGAAGTAAGACTGAAGAGTTAAACTGAACCTTAATCCCAACCCTCTAGCTTCATTAGGTTCCCAGATTTATAGGGGAATGAAGCCACTGAGGTTACTAAAAGTAGAAAACTTAAATGGTCACAGCTGTGAGGTATTCAGTCTTTTAATTGGACAAACTACCACATCACTCCCACATTTATAGTAATGCTTTGTTTTATTAATTTCAGAACTAACTACATTGATTTTGGAAGATGGAGGTGAGTTGTCTACTTTTTCTCCATATTCCCCATACCCAATGCTAACCAAACCCCTCCATTTAGTGTTAGGGCGTTTAATCATGAGGTGAAATAAGTGAGGGTTCCTTATCTTAATAAGATCAAAATTTTGTATTTTGATAGTGCAGATGCATTTATATGAGAGAATATTGAAGTCCACAATTTATTGCTTCATTTCATTATGAATGGCTGAATGCTATTAGAGGATATATTTTGTATATACAGCTACAAGGCCAGGGGCTTGGCCTAACAGAGATGATCAACGCCATGGCTGCCCAACAACACATGTATACTGCAGCTGCAGCATACGGCAGTCTGGAGGCTGCAGCATATGCCCAATATCCTCAGTATGTTACACAGGTGAGTGGCCATGCCAAATCAATGATAATGGTGTGACTTCTTGAACTGATTTTGAAATTATCATCATTTATTTTGAGCATGTTGGTTGTTTACGGTAAAGCATCACAAGTTCGTACATCAGTTGCTTGCATTATCAGCTAGTCTGCGTCAACTTCTCTTACGATCCGCCCGTTATTAAAAAAAAAATTATATATATATATATATATATATATATATATATATATATATATATATATATATATATATATATATATATATATATATATATATATATATATATATATATATATATATATATATATATATATACTTACTTTTTTTCTCTCTCCCAATGAATTAGGTTTTCTTGCACGCTTTAAGAGATAAGTTAATAGTCTCGGTATTATTTCCATAGTGTTGGAAAAAATATAAAAATCATGTGCAGTAGCATCACGGTTTGGACAATGAACATAGTGTATAAGTTTGAAAAATAAAGCCTTACACAGTAGACTGAACTTTTGTAAAAGACTAAATTGAGGTAGCTCATGATCTAGCAGATAATGATAAAATTGTCCCCCACGAACGCATCATGTATGTGATTGTTATATCGAAACCAACGTTAGAAGTGATGTGAGACTTTTACCAAACTTTCCTTGTTTATTTATGCTTCTGATGCCCTCATGTAATGTCTTTCTGCGTACGTTCAGTAAATTCATACTTGGCTAAGGGATGGTGGTGGCGGCTGTACAGTATAATGATCCATGGAGAGGACGGAGTTGATGTGGGTCTTCCTGTGCAAGTGCATAAGGTGCACGGAGTCAATTTGAGACTGAGGCAGGGACAGTAACTCATATGAGTTGCCACACTGTTTGATGAGAATAAAGTTATTTACAGTATACTTTTACCAAATAATTGCAAAAAAATTTGCAATGACAGAATAAAAGATATGCTAAATGATAAGCACGTTAGACGCCCAACAGCAATACAATATAACTCACCAAGTCCAGCACGGGAGGTTTAAAAATGGGTTATTGAAAATTTCCACATCTCTTGGTATTCATATATGGCCGCCACCTTCCCAACAGATTGAAGTGTATGATACGCATAAAAGAAAAAAAGGAAGAATTGGCCGAAGCTCTACGAAAATTACCCCTTATGGATATGCACCAGCTCCTTTTATGGTGAGTAGAGATTGTACTGTATTTTAGTTTATATTCTTAACCTTTTTTAGTGTGGTCTCGTACGGTCAGTGGTCCCTTGGTCTTATCATAAAGTGTTTTATATACAGTATGTGATAATTTGGGTTGATGGTTCCTGGGATCTATCTTGCCATATATTAAGCTATTCTTAGTTCTCAAAAGTTGTTAAGTTTGCTACTCTCAGTACGTAGGGTGTGCGAACTTTTGGTGCTTTACCTGAAAATTGTGATCCTTTCTTTGAGGTATTGATCGTGTCGTCATAAATTACTGTATTTTTTGTGGTATTATATATATATATATATATATATATATATATATATATATATATATATATATATATATATATATATATATATATATATATATATTTATATATATTTATACAGGGTGTCCCATACATTTCCATACATAGGAAAAATAAATTTTATATGAAAATCCATTTTTATTTATATAATATGCTCTACATGACTACCATTCTGTTGAAAACACTCTTCAATGCGTGTCCTCCACTGCTGAAGAACACGTTCAAGCACAGCTGGAGTTATGCTTGTAATGGCGTTGGTGATACGTTGTATGGAAACCTATGGGACACCCTGTATATATATATATATATATATACTGAGAACCACAAGGAAAGAAGAAAACACGAAGTTCCCAAGCGCTTTCTTGTAATTCGTGTTTTCTTCTTTCCTTGTGGTTATCAGCACATACCTAGATCACGCGCACCTACAGTGATTTACTTGCATATATATATATATATATATATATATATATATATATATATATATATATATATATACATATATATATATATATATATATATATATATATATATATATATATATATATATATATATATATATATATATATATATATATATATATATATATATATATATATATATATATATATATATATATATATACACACACACAATTGGGTCTTCATTAACGCGGTCAGTTGAACCCGTGTTGTACCGTGTAAAACGAGAAACGCGTAAATGAAATAACAGAACATATGGGATTAATTGAAATAGGGTCTGGGCCCACCCCCAAACTCCACTTTGTCCAACACAATACCTACGTTGTAGTAAAAATAACATAATTTTATGATGGTATGCACACACACATAATATAGAAGAGAAATATCAATAAGAGAATAATATACTGTACCAGGTAAAAGAAAAATCAAGGTTTAACACTTACGTCAGGTTAGGTTAGAAAAAATCAAGGTTAACACTTACGTTAGGTTAGGTTAGAAAAAATCAAGGTTAGGTTTAACACTTATGTTAGGGTTGCCATACATCCGTATTTTCCCGGACATGTCCTCCATTTAGGTCTCGAAATCTTCATCCGGAAGGAATTTTTAAAATTCTTCAAAAGTCTGGAATTTCAGCTTCATCATTTTCTCCACGTAAAAAAAATATGAAACTGTAATGACGGAAGAGAGAGAGAGCGAGTGAGGGGGAAGGTGGAAACCGTAGATATCTCGTTCAGTTTTCGTCAGCTGATAAGTCGCTTGTACGCCCGTAGGTGTTGTCAACTTAGCTGTCAAATATTTGATTGATAAGGGGGTAGAAGTTGATGAAGTGTTTTGACCAAGTTAGTAACCTGAAGCAGTTTGTGGAAAATTACAAGAGTGATGAAGAATTTAGTAATCTGCCAACACATAAAAAGTGGACCAGATACTTTGAAAAATCAAAGAACATTGAATGCCACTCAGAATTGCTAAGAATTGCACAATTCTTCTTTACTATATCATGTCACAATGCAAATGTAGAAAGAGTTTTTTCACTGATGCAAAGTCAATGGACAAAGGAAAGGAACAAATTGAGTGTTGAAACAATGAAAGGCATTCTGACTGTACAGTACAACTTCCGAGAAACACCTTGCAGTGACTTCTATACCTTTCTAAAGAGCAATCAGCCAATACTGAAAAAGATCCGATCTACAGAAAAGTATGCATGGGCACAAAGTCACACACACAGTGGGGGAAGAAGACTGCAGCTAAGGTAATGAAGATGTTCAGCCTTAAGCAAAGGTAATTTTTTTTAAGATTTCTATACCATGTATGTTGTATATTAGCCTGTGTGTGCCGGGCGGGGTGGGGGGGGGAGTATGTCTTCGGGAGCGTCCTCTTTTTTTAATGTTCAGATATGGCAACCCTAACTTACGTTAGTAGAAGGGATGGGTCGGCGTACGGGAATGGCGCCTGGTTCCGTGGAGGCAGAGGGCAGATTACTGGCCCTCAGGTGAATCACCATCACTATCCACCATAGTTCTCAGGGCCTCCCTGACAAATCCCTCAAAGTCACCATCACTGTCACGATCACTGGCTTGGGCTGGCGATGGTGGGTTGCGGGCGAAGAAGTCCGTGATGTTACGCTGGCGGCTAGTGTTGATGTGGTCGTGATACACCTTGATGTACGGCTCCATAGTGTGCAACAGCTGGTTATGGAAGACTTCATAGCGGTTATCGTCAGGGTCGTTGGAAAGGAGGAGCTTCAATTTCTCTACACACTCGATGGCATCCTTAACATTACCATGCGTTAACTTGTGTTCTTCTCAGGATGACACACTGCCTGTCTCTTCACTGACGTGATCGTCTTCTAACATCTTGTCGGCAGTCACCTCAGGATCCCTGATCATCTCCATAATGTCGTCGTTGGTGGTCTCGGAGAAGGCTGCAGTTGTAATACTCTGCGCAGCGTCTCTGGCAAGGTCCACTCCCACTGCAACAGACTGAACCTCACCAGTCAAAGGTTGACTGCCTCCCACCCGGGATACCTTGCAACACATGCCGCCATGCGTGACGAATCGTTGCTACAGACAGCTGATCCCATGCCTCCACCAAGAAGTCAACAGCTTTCTTGGCGTTAAATTTCTTCCAAAACTGTTTGACGTGAACTTCTTGATCCGCCAACTCTTGTTCCTCGTCCTCATCGCTCTGGCTATCGGTGTCACCCAGGTTACGCAACTCATCCTTGGTGTTGGTACAGTCGTTCAGGAACTTAAACTTCTTTGTAGAGAATGCAGCCTTAACGTTGCATATCAACTCCTGGTCCATGGTCTGGATTGACGACGTAGTGTTGGGAGGAAGGAAGACCACTTTTACGTTGGGGTGACGATCCAACAGTAGGGACGAGTGTCCTGGTGCTTTGTCAAGGAGTAACAAAATGTTGAATGGAACATTCTGTTGCTCGCAGTATTTCTTGCCGTCGGGAACGAAATAGTCGTCAAACCAGGAGAGGGACAGAGCAGAGAACATCCACGCCTTACGTGCGGTCAGCCAGTGGACATTGTGCTTGGTCATGTCCATGTTCTTGTAGGCGTGCGGCTTGCGGGCTGTGTGGATCACCGATAACTTGAGTTTACAGGAACCGGATGCGCTCCTTCTGCAACTTCCGGCCCCGACACTTGCTGGCAGACTTGACAACGAAGGTCTTGGACGGTAGCTTTTTCCAAAACAGACCGGATTCGTCCATGTTGAATACCTGGTCGTCGGTGTACTGTCCTTCCTCCATAACGTCACGTAAGAATGGAGGAAAATCACTAGCCGCAACACGGTCAGCACTGGCTCCTTCACCACCAATGTTAATGTTGGTGATCTTGTTCCTCTTCTTAAACCCTTGCAGCCAACCAGAGGAAGCATTGAAGGGTTTGGGCTCTGCAATTCCCATCATACGTGCCACTGCTACGTACAGTTCACGTGCGTACTCTTGAACCGACCGCGTGTTCACTGCCATGTTCCGTTGAGCTTGACGAATCAAGTAGTTCACAAGTAAATTCTCCGTCTTGTGAAGCGCCTTGTTCTGGCAGTACTTCAACATTGAAGCACCTGCAGACTTTGTGATGTTCATGTGTTCTTTTATCTTGGCTGCATCCTTCTTGATTGTCCGGATCGTAGATTCGTTAACACCATGCTGGCGCACGAGATCAACCTGTCTTGTTCCTTTTTCTAACTCTTGTATTATCTTGTACTTTACCTCGTAACTTAGGGCACGTCGTATCTTCTTTGGCTTAGGGCAGCTGAGTCCAGGTAATGCAAGGTTTTTCTGTGGTGGTGGAGGTCCAGTGGAAGCCATTCTTACGAGATTAGCGAGATTATCCGAACAAAAGAACACAGTATACACGGGGTGACTGGGAGGATCGTAACTGACGCTGCTAGGTCAGCGGCTTCATCCCTCCCGCGGCAGGGCACGTCATATTACATTAAACCAATCACAGCTAGTGGCGGAGGGAGGTAAGGATGCGTGGCCCAATCACAGTCCGATATGTCATATGACGTCACCGATAACGCAACAGACACATACACTGCACAACCTAGTCGCGCCGCTTACCCAACATGGCGGGAGGTTTGAATCCAAAAATGGCGCGGCGCGAAAGGACCGCCAGTCGCTCTCCACGTAAATGACCAAATTTACCGCGTAAATGAAGCATCCCGCTTTTGGCAAAGTACCCCGTAAATGACAAAACGTGTAAACGAAAACCGCATAAATCCAGACTCAACTGTGTGTGTATATATATATATATATATATATATATATATATATATATATATATATATATATATATATATATATATATATATATATATATATATATATATATATATATATATATGTATATATATATATATATATTTATTTATTTATTTATTTATTTTGTGGTTTGGTCAATGTAGTTGTAAATTGTGATGCTTTATTTTGAGCCATTAATTGTGTACATTAGTGTAGTAGTAAATTATCATCCTTTTTATTGAGCTGTTGATATTTTGTTGTAAATTATTATCTACAGTACAGTCCTGTACTTCACTTTGAGCTCTAGATATAATACAGTTGTTGTAAATGATCATTCATCATTTTGAGTTTCATTTTATAGTTATAAATTAATGTCTTTTCTTTAGAGCTGTGTTTACGTAGTTTTAAATTTATAGAGCTGCTGTTTACTTAGAGTAGTTTTAAATGAAACAAATTATTCCAGCAAACAATATTTGATATTTTTTGATGAATTGACTTTAAATGAATTTCTCATTCTTTGCTATTTGTGTGGACAGGGTGCATACATAGCTTCTGCAGCTGCACCAGGAGGTGCACGTGGACATGGCCGTAGCACTCTAGATCCATATGACAGCTATGCTGCAGCAGCAGCTTATGAACCAGAGCCTCCGCGCCACCGTGAACGCCGGGACAGAGAGGATCGCCGGAGAGACCGGGACAGAGACCGCGATCGTGATCGGAGAGACAGAGACAGAGATCGAAGGGACCGAGACAGGGACCGTGACAGAGATCGTGACAGGGACCGAGATAGAGAACGTGATAGGGATAGAGACCGTGACCGCTGGAGGGATGAAGACCGTGACCGCAGCCCTCGTCGTGACCGTGACCACAGGGATTACAGGGACTATGATCACCACAGAGATCAGTAAGTATTATGGTGATGTTTATTCCTGTCCCAGATCATATTATGTATGGCTTGAATGTATTCTTTGTTTTAGACTGTCTTGCCCATCCCTTAATTTTGATATAGGAGGTAATGGATATTTCTACACATCCATTTAATTCTCATCTGTCTACAGAAACAAGCATCTTATGTTAACCATTGCAATTCTTCATTGATATGTCTTTAGTTGTCCAATACTATTTTAGTGTACAGTACATTTATGCATGTCTTTCCAAAGATTTCATATCTTTCATGTTCCAATCACCTTGTGCACATTCAGTCCAAAGTGATGTTTCTACACTGCATGTTATTTCACTGACAGTTGTATTAATTCTTATTGTACTTTATTCCAGTTATGATGAAGAAAGAACAGATTACAAATCACAACCTCCAAACAACACAATCATGGTGCGGGGTTTAGCACAGCACATTACAGAAAATGATGTAAGTGTTGGCGACCTCTATAGTGGTGTATACAGTACTACATTTCCCAGGTTGTGCTCAAGGTTCTAGGCACGAGATATAAATCCATCTCGCCCTACACCCTCAACCATTATCTTGCAGTGGCCAGATATTAAGAGTGACATACCGCCTTCCTCGTCGCATTCTCTATAGTGGTACATATTATGTAAATATCAGATTTGCTTACACAAATTTCTTTCCAAAGCCTCTTTCCTACAAAATGAAGGTTGACCAGAAACAAAAGCAAATAGTACACCTAGACTTTTTCCACTCAACTATACCATTCATTTATTCTTACTGGTGCAAAAGATGTGCTGTGATCTGGTATATGCTGTCTGACATGTTTCCAAATAACCATGACACTGATCTTTACTCATTCATGCACACTAATGCTTCCTGGATGTCTCTCTATTACTCTTTGTATGTCTTTTGCCCCCATCCTTCCACCTCCTTTTTCAGTCTTTCTTCCGACAGTCCGTCCACTTGTGAATTATACATTCTTGGCAGGTTTACCAATACAGTATAGAGGAATTATAGGAGGATAAGGTCACTATCTGGTGTATACAAAACTGGAAATGATGAGATGGACTTACAGGATTGGCCAAAAGAAATAGGGAAGTAGAGATTAGAATGGGAGGAGCTGTAGGAAGCAGAGATTAATAAGAGAACATCAGGAACTTGAGTTAAATGAGGTTGTAAAAGGAAAGGAATATCACAAGGACATGGCTAAGCTTTTGAGGGATAAAAGTATAGGGGTATGTGAGTGCTGTCTCTGTATGTGGTAAAACATAGAATTGAATGAGGATGTGCATTGTGGAAGAGATATGAGAGGTGGTAATGAAGAAAGAACCTAGGAGAAAATTTCCAGAAATGTGTACCAAGCAAGGAGTGGATAAGGAGAAAATGAACACAGGAGAATAAAAGGCTGAAGAATGTGGCGTTTGAATTTAGGGAAGGATAAGCCGAGGAATTCTGAAGAAAGTTGTGCATTGATTTTGTAAGAAATATTCCCCCAGGCTTGTTTCACACGACTTATTTTTTGCCGTAGTCTTTTATTTACCATTTGCATATTTTCTATTTCAGATTCGTGCAGACATCTTAGCCTGTAACCTCATGCCAAAAGATATCAGACTTGTCCGGAAAAAAGAATCAGGTAAAGTGGCATTCCCTTGGGCCTAACCTCCCTGGACTCCTTACGTTTTTATGTTTTAGTTCCCATTTTCTGTTATCCATGTTCTTTCCTGTCCACCTGTGTTTTCCTCGCTGGCTGAATGGAGGTCTAGGTCACAGGGTTTCCCAAGCAATATAACTGGTTTCCTGAGCACTAAATCAGACTCTTCCAGGTTCCTACACAAGTTAAGCAGATCAGCAGCCTTGTTTTGTTCTTCGAAATTGTGAGTACTTGAAGTGGGATTACGGGTAGGCTTTTAGTGTTAACTCAGTACAGTACTGCTCATAAATACAGTAATTATTTTGATCTTAAAATGTTCTCAGGAGTTACTTGAAAAAACATAGAGGTAGCCTTAAAAAAATTCAACATTATGATGTAATTAATCTTGTGTGTATCATTCAGGCTGTGTAATATTTTGTATATTGTAGCAAAATACTGTAATAAGGGAAAGAAATATTTTGATTATTCCACTGATGATGATATGATGTATAAATATTTCTTAATTGTGTTCCTTGCACCCATGAAGGATTGATGCAGGAATGCAGCGGTAGGAGACAACCAGTGATTCCCTGATCACCATGAGCAGTGAATTGTATGTGTGTCTGTATGTGTGCTTGAAGTGTTGTTTGAATGTATATTTTACACCAGTTTGGTGATGCATGTGGTTGTATGAAAACTATGTAGACAGTGAGTAGAAGTATCTGATCTCTACACCAATGCAGAAGTTTTAAATGTGTTGGTGTACTAGTGGACCCTGTGACCTGATAGAGGCCATTGAATGAGTAAAACATGAAAAGCCAGCGAGGTGGGCACAAAGTGGCTGGTTAGTGGCCACAGGGCCAACTCACGGCCATTTGAGGGTGCGACGTTGAGTGTCCCTCACGCCTCCTTTAAGAACATCATTAATTAACACTTGCTTGTGTGTGTTCTTGCGTCTAGGTGCATCAAGAGGCTTTGCCTTCGTGGAGTTTACGACGGTACATGACGCCACACGGTGGATGGAAGCCAAACAGGTATCGCGGTGAATCCCCGCCGGCCCGGCCCGGCCCCAGGCAGTTCCCCCGGCAGGTCCCCGGACCCCCTGGCCACGGCCAAGGGGTCATGGGCCAGCCAACTCTGCCAGTAACACTGGGTTAACCTCTTCCTCAATACCATCATAGCCATTTGGTTCCTCTTGTAATTTTGCTTCCAATGTTGAGTCAATAACTTGTCACTTTTCTATGAGGAACTGTTAATGTTAGACCTTGACCATTATTGTACATGTGCGTTATGAAAGTATCGCCCCTCATCCTTTACTTCCTTATATTAAGCATCAGTCTTACTTCACTTTGAGTGCACAGTAATATTCTTGATTATTTTTTATTTTAATTTTTTTTTTCAAAATTCACGCTTGCTCATTTTGTTCCTTGATACTGTGTTTTATGTCAGCATGTATTCCTCTTTTCATGGTGTGAATGATGAGTGATTGATCACAATTGTAGATTAAGCTGACTTAGGAATCAGTGAACCTAAGACTGTAGCTTTTTGCTCAGCTGTCTAAGGCTTAATAACACTTAGAGCATGGCTAGGGATAAACTGACTTAAGGCCACCTCCAGCTTTACATAACATATAAATACCCTAATGTGATAGTTAAGTCATTCACCCTTTATATGAGTCAATGCATCCTATTCTGTCTAGTTAGTTTAAGCACTTTGCATCCAAGAGGTGGTCTTATATTATGTCCCAAATGCTTTACCTCTGGAGTCCCTGAGAGCACATTGAAGGATGCATGCTTGGCGACAGTCAGTGAAACTTGTAGCCACTGTTGTTCTACTCCCAATGAGAGATGATATCATCCAAGGAGCAAGCCTGATAAGGGCAACCCTGCGGGACCCTCTGCTTTAACAGCATCAGCAACTACAACCACAACAGTAAACGTGCTCACCCGAACATCCACAACTACAAAGTCTCGGCACCAAGGTTCTCCTCCAGCCAGGGTGTTGGCACTCCTTCCTCTGTAGATTGAGCCTAGTCACTTTTGCCTGTTCATGCCATTCTTGGGACCTAGGGAAGAGCTCCTGCACAGGTATGATAGAGAACTTTAGTCATAGATGGATGTTGAATGTTGTCATCACTGTACATGTATCCTTACCTGTAGAACTTGCTCTTTTTCTAGCCCATTCTCGGCTGAACTGGAGTCCAAAAGTAACAGCTCATGTAAGACACTAAAATTCTTTCTCAAGGGTGAATATTAACACGTTAAATGGCATCTCTTGCAGGGTGTACTCATTCTACAAGATGTGTATAGAGCAACCTTGCAGTATTCCATTCCTAAGGAATCTTCTGAACGACAGTCCAAGGCATCACAAGATTGGTTTTGCATCAGGGTATGTTGACAGCCTGATCAAATGTAGTTCGGACTTTACTAGAGATGAAATTTATATGAATAACAATTGTTAATGTGTGACATAATATTTAATTATTTAACTTATGATTTACTTTTTTATTGCAGTGTGGTGCTCATAATTTCAAGAGAAGAGACTCGTGCTTCAAGTGCTCTGCCCCTCGCCACGAGTCTGAGGCTGGGGAGGAAGGCAGTGATGAAGTTTGTACATACCCAACCAATAGTAAGTTATGAATTATAAAATGAAAAGAGTTTCCTTAAAGATAATGAAGCAAATTATGTGAAAACTTTAGTATCGGTATAATTCACTGTGCAACAAATTTTAGGGAAAGTTGTGTTTATCTGAATTTTTAACTGTTTATATATGTTTTTGAGTATGCTGATTCCAAAATTTACTTTAGTTTTTTTTACAGCATCAATAGTTTTATCAGAAATTAGCAATTGATTTTTTATCATCTCTGAAATTTAACCAGAAATCAGAAGGTGAAATGTTGATATACATCACATTTGCTAACGAAATAAATGAAACGAGAACACAATTTTATTTTATATTAAAAGCATAAAACATGACCAAACAACACATTACTTTTCTACACTTGTTACTAATGAAATTGAACAATAATCTGTTAAAAATGAACACTTGAACGGCATTTTCTTCTGTGTTCCTTTGGGTCATCTCGAATCAAACTCCACACGTAGTCACCCATCATAGCTTCATCCCATCTCCCCTGATATCTCTTCTCCATAGTTTGTATGTCTTGATGAAATCGTTCACCATGCTCTTCACTCACATGTCCCAAGTTTGGTCTGAAGAAGTCCAAGTGTGAATGCAAGTAGTGTAACTTCAGTGACATTCTGCAGCCAATTTCTCTATAACATGCAATTAAATTTTCCACCAGCTCTTTGTAGTTTTCAGCCTTGTGGTTGCCCAGAAACCCATGTACTATAAGCCAAAATGCTTCCCAGGCACTTTTTTCAACAGTTGACATTTTTTCTTCTAAATCTTTATATGCCAACATCTGCCTTGACTTTGGCCTCAGACAATTTTGGTAACATTAATTGGACATGTTTAAGGACGTTACTTTCTGGGCTTAATGCTTTGTTAAACTGCTTCACAAGCCCTAGCTTTATGTGAAGTGATGGCAGTAATATCTTCTCTTTGAATAAGAGCATTGTTACATACATTGTGTGCACCAGGAGTTAATTCGCTTCTGACATGCCAATCTCTTCTGTCATAGTGTTTGTCATCTGCTCTACTATCCATCTTGAAGTCTCCACATACATCCCAATTGTTTCTTGTATAGTCGAGCATGTCTAACAAAATCTTCACATTTTCATAGATCTTCCTTCATGTGAACTGAATTACCTACCAGAATTGATGGAAGTGTATTCCCGTTGTGAAGCAACACAGCCTTAAGACTTTTTGTTGAGCTGTCAATAAATAGACGCCAACCTCTATATGTATTAAGTATTTTAAATATTGCCAGAATGGCAAAACCAATGGCAGATTCATAATCAGCATGTCTAAATTAGTAAAGAAACATATCAAAATCAACATAAACGAAAAAATTTTGCACAGTGAAAAATTGATCAATAATTTTTTCATCAAAGAACTTTTATTTCTGTTTTTGCCCCACCTAAGAAAAAATACACCCTTTAAGAAATTATGCATATACAGTACTGTACTGTATGTATATCCTGGATGGATTCATTTTCACTAGCTTGGATGCCAAGCAGCACAGACACTAATAATCTTCCTTAGTTGCAAATGATGCGTGTTGGATTGTAAGACTATATAGTTTGTGCATGTTTTTCTTATGACTCATATGTTGGAACATAGCAAGTGTAGTAGTATTTAAATTCAGACTGTAGAAGTAAATGTATTCCACTACCCACTTCACCCAATCCTGAGAAGGCACTTGTCTTTGCTGCCCTCCCCTCCCCCCGTTGATCCATCTCTCAACATTATTTGACTTGAGATGTGTTAAAGCAGATGCATCAAACCTCAGCAGAAACCAAAATTAATCCCTCTCAAGAGTTAAATTCATGATGATCGACACAGTAAGTCTTGACCCCCTGGGAATCCCACATTAATTGTATGCTTTAACACCATTTACATTAATTATCTGAATGTATGAAATGGATTCATTGGTCAGATTGCTGTTACCATTCACTCTTCTGTTTTATACACAAGCATTTTTCTGTTCAGTCACTGGTCATAACTAGGACATATTCTATAGATGCAGGCTAGGGACTTAGCATTACTCCATAGCTATAATGTATCTATCAATCTGTTGTTTATATGTTCCATGTAAACTATACCATTTTGGCAGACAATTATTCTTGCATCTTTTATAGGGTTTTCATCTCATTTGTTTCTCATTTTCCAAAGATTAGTAATGCTAATCACATACTATTCTTCTCCCCAGCTCTGCTTCTACGAGGCTTAGATGTCTTAAGTACAGAAGAAAGTGTACTGCAAGGCATCCAACATGCTGGTAGTGACTTGCCCATCCGATCTGTTCGAATTGGTCGGGATCCTCTGACCAACACGTCACGAGGAGTTTGCTACATAGAACTGAACTCTGTATTAGACTCCATGCAGCTCCATAACAAGCTAGCACATTCCCCACCCACTATTGATAACAAACAGGTTAGTTATGCATTATAAATACATTTCTTCCAGGTATTTGATAGCCAAAATTTTCAGGGCAATTGGGATGCCAGGTACAAAGTTTCTCATTCCCACTATATTTTCAGGTGTCTTGGGTTTGGACAAAGAACTTTCAAATAATCTATTAATCTGTGGTATGGGGGGTGAAGAGGTTGTCAGGTGTACAGGAAATGAAAAAAATGTTCCATGGCGGGCATAAAAACTTATAATAGAATGACATGAAATAGAACAAAAGTTGAAGTAACCAGCGATATCAAATCGGTTTTACCTATAAAATTGAGAATGCTATAAAGCAGAAACTCCTACAACCCAATTTTTTATTTATTTATTTTTTTTTTTTTTTCTAATTATTGTTTTTTTTACGAGTATTAATGATATTCTTTATTTCAGGGGTTTAGATGCATATTTATGCACTTTTTTACAATTTTTACAATTTTATATTATATTTTTCAGTGTTAAGTGGTTGTATTTGGGGGCCAGGAACGGATTAATCCTATAACGAACAAGGTTCTAGAACCAATTAGATTCGTTATAGCATACCCCACTGTATATCAAATTTTAATACTATACAGGTATATTGTAATATTTAAAAAGGTCTCATATTTCGAAATATTACCAAGTATTACAACATTTGTAATGTATTTTTCATAACCACAAAACATTATGAATTATGAGTGATTTCAAATTAGAGGAGTATGAATCATGGGGTTTTTACTGTATGTTATTTACTCACATTGTACCAGTATGTTAATATAAAGTTTTGTATTAAGGGTAAATCATTGAACTACTCATAACATCAAAGTGCAGTGAAATTGAATGTTGTAAAGTGGTAAAGATAGATTCAGCTTTCTTTTGTGGACATTTTCCACTTTGCCTGGGTTAGCTGCAGTTACTTGATGGCAGCTCTCTGTGCTTCATGCTGAGTTGCAGTCTCTTCTCAAGTATCTTACAAACTTGAATGTTGAAAAAGGAAACGATCTATTAATCCTCAAATGACAGATGTCGTAAATAGTTGATATGCGACTTATGCTTCATGCTGAGTTGCAGTCTCTTCTCAAGTATCTTACAAACTTGAATGTTGAAAAAGGAAACGATCTATTAATCCTCAAATGACAGATGTCGTAAATAGTTGATATGCGACTTATTGTCCCAAAATGACGGTAATCATCTTATAATCAGGATTTTCCAGCTCCATAATTTTTAAGGTGCCTGATTTCTGCTCGAATGAATTATTGTGACACGGCAGCTTTTCCTTCCCCGCATTTGATCCTCCCCAAATTCATTTTAATGGTACCAAGGAATATAACTTGAATGCATGTGGCCCCTTTCTACAGCTGCGTGGTCTGCCATCTTGGTAGTTCTGACTCCCAACTACTAAGTAATCTTTAGCGAGATTTCTGTACATTCCATCAAACCTACAGCATTTTACCACTCGGGGAGCCCTTGATCCTATATTAATGGCCCTCTTTGTGGTTTAGCTTGTCCCCTACTAATATATTTTAGTAGCCACCAGAATCAGTGAAAAATATAGATTAAAGAGATAGTTTACAAGCTGATCATTTGAGCTGTGATAATTAGTAGTTGATGGAAAAATTTTATGTTTGGAATTTTGAAAGGGAGGCTTTAAAATATTCCCGATTTCCTTCTGTTTCAGGTGACAATTTCCTATTGCAAACTCAACCAGAATAATGGAAGTAGTAACAACAGTTCTGGTAAGCATATTTATGTATGTATGAAACTCCAGGCGAGAACAAGACAAGTCGCTTGATGCGTTCATTATACTTATTTCAGAATTGCTAAACTTTAACTGCAATATATATATATATATTGTACTGTATATATATATCACTTGTCTGCTTCTTGTCTGGAACTCTCCATGCATTAATTATCCTTCTCTATATCATAAACTGTAGCTGTGGTGTTGAGGGTCATGTCAGAGGTTCTAAGTTGGCATGTTACTGTTTTGAATCTGTATTGTGTTAATACATTTTGGATGTGTCTTTGGGACACAATCTGCCACTTGCCAACTTTGAACCCCTGAACTTGTGCAGACATTCAGGTGCTTTGGGTAAAGTTTATAATTTAGAGGTGGATGGTTGCAGGTGAGAGGAAGATGAGAAAGAAAAGGGGGGTTGAGTGGGAGGCACCACAAAAGGGGGATGGACATGGAGGATGCGAGACAATAAAAGATCATGGTGTTGAGTACTAAGGTATATGGGGGATATCACATCAGTTAAAGTAAATATTGAAGGTAAACAAGAAATACTACGCTATTGTGTATTCCAACCACCGTACAGCCTAGCTTGAAAAGACTTTTTTTTCTTTTTTTTTTATATAAATAATAGAGTTGTGTTTGAAGGGCAATGTACAACCTAATAATAGCTCATACATTTAGGATTTTTTTTTGTACTTCACCGAGAATATAACACTTCAAGAAATTGAGGTAATTTTGGCTTCCATAGGTAACAGCTGGTCAAGTCAGCAGCAGCAGCAGCAACAGTACCACCAACCAGCAGAATACACAGCAGGGGCAGATATCAAGCAGTTAGCTGAATATAGTGCATCTTTATATGCACAGACTCCAGAGGAACATGCCTCATATGTGCAGTATTACACAATGTATTACCAACAGCAAGCACAGGTCAGATGATGATTTCCCTTTTTTCTTTTTTACTTTTTTTATGCCAGCATAAACACTGGGAGCATATAGCACCCTTGCCTGTCACTCTTCAGTAATTGCATTTGGCTATAGTATAAAATTATCTTTTTCTCATGATTATACTGTATCTCCTTTTTGTCTTTTCTCCTTCACCCTTTTTTTTATGTGTCGATGAAAGCAAAGACTTACAGAGGAAATGATAGGGGAGAGCAGTTCAAGAACAGCTTTGCAGTAGTAAACTATTCAAGATAACTTGTTTGAATATTGATATATACATGTAGGCAATTGAGTAAATGAAAAAAAAATGGCATTCAAATTAAATATATTTTGATATGTTAGACTAACATAAATTGTTACCATTACTCCAAATTTGCTCGATTCCCCATCCAGTCCTCTTCCCTAGCTCTTCCTCCTAGCCTCCCATTTTTTTTTACCCTTACCTTGGTCCTCCTCCATTCTTCCTTCCACTTGCTGCCTACATCACCCTCTACTATCCTCCATGGCTCTTTCCTGGAAATTATTTTGTTTTTCAATTTATATACTGTATTGTATCTTTATGGTGTGACTAAGTTAAGGTTGCTGTTGAGTCAATGAAGTAGGTTGTAACCCTTGATCATGTTTTCCAACAGGCATACCAACAAAATCAGCAACAGCAAGGTAGTTCAAACCAATCTGATTCAGTCAATGCTGCTGCAGCTGTTGCTCAATCTGCTCTTCAAGCTATGCATCAGAAGTCAGCAGCCACTGCATCAACAAGTGCTGCTGCAGCAGCAGCAGCAGCTGCAGCTGCAGCTGCAGTCCAGAGTACTTACAGTACAACTACTACTGCAACAACAACTGCCAGTGACCAGGCATACACACAGGCCTCATCTTCATCTGCAAATTGTGATGGTGTTCAAATGCAAACTGGAGAATATCCAACTTACCGTAAGTTTATAGCACAGCGTGAAGTAAGAAACTGGTGTCTGATATGACATGTATACAGGGACAAATTAACAGCGACTTGGGTCCTTGGTGGTGCCTCGACCATGGGCCCCTTCTGCTAGTCATGTTGACATCCTGCAGTATATTCCACTAGTGGACTAAGTGATAAAATCAATGTGGAAAGTGAATTAAATTCAATGGACATATGTGCCCAAACACCCTAGTACTATATAAACAAAATCACTAGCATTTACCTTGTCAGTATATTACAAATTAATGCCTATACTAAAAATCACTCATTAACAGTGCATAGTTTGACATTATGGAGTCTATGCATACCAAAAATCAGGTAAAACCGATGAAAATACACCAGCTATCTCATATTCCCCTGATACATGTGTTATGGCTTTTGCCATTTAGTCGGCCCTACGTACAGTGTGTGTTTGTTTGTACAATTACTGTTCTTTTATGCAGGCCATGGCCAGATCTCGGCACCCCTGCCGTCTAGTGCACAGTCTGAATCTTTTGAATATGTAATGTAGTTATAACTTAGGAAATGAAATTTCTGATGCAATAAATATTAAGTAAACAATAAAGGAGTAATATACTTGTACAGTACTGTGGCACCGGTAATACTGGGGCCAGGGTGGTCACCCTGTTCTTACTCCGACCTTGCACATAGGTTAAAAGGTGGTGGATGTAGCTGAATGCAGAACTGAAATTGAAATAGAATTCAGGAATACAAAAGTATTCTAGATGGAAGAAAATCAGTGTAGGTAAATGATGTACAGGTATCCCTCGCTTTACGAATGTTTGAGAAGCAATAATTCGCATACATAAATTTCTTGATACAGGGGGCCCCCCAAATTTGTGGAATTTTATTTCGCGGTCCTCTATTATTCTCGGATGGCACTGGATGTACCCAAGAATGTCTGTGGGTAGTTTTATAGTTGCCGGCATTTTTGCGGCTGGTACAGGGAGCCCTTCGTTCTAGAGACGGTAATTTCCTTTACCTGTATTGTAAATGTGTGTGTGTGTAGACACACACACAAACACAAAATTAAAAATAATATTGGGAAATTCGCTCACAAATAATCATTAACAAATTTGTTAAAAATTTGAGTCTACCCCCAAGTCTGTGCTTTCTTACTTTATTAATAAAGCACGGACTTGAGGGTAGACTGTCACAGGTTAATAAATTTGTGATTATTTGTGAGTATTTTCCCATTATTGATTATTTGTATGTGTTTTATGTGTGTGTGTCTACATACACACACGCACTGATATACAATACAGGTAAAAGAAATAATTGTCCTAAGGGCAAACACAAAAGGAATATACATTTCTTTGTACTCAAGTAAAAGGCCCCCCCCCCTCCCCTCCCATCAGTAAATGTTATTCACAGATTTCGCGATTTGCGGCCATTTTGAGAACCTACAGTAACCCCCGCGAATTTGGGGGGGGGGCCTGTACTGTATATAATGCCTTTCTTATCTATCGAAAGCGACCCTCGCTTATATGAACTTTGGTGTGATCCCCGGATTCACAGCTGAGGGTGATGGTGTACTCATTTAATGATTGCATTTACCATCGCTGGTGGTACAGTATTCAGGATAATTTGATATTATTTGTTGAGATAGATTTTATGAGATTTCATATCTTTAGGAAAAAACCGAACTAGTCTGATGATCTCAAAATATCCCCATACTTTACACAATAACAGATGCATTCCTGTAGGGGGAATTCTAATTATCCTGGATAATTTTATGGTTCCAGGGTGAAAAATATTACAGAGTTCACTGGTGCAGATGAAACAAGATTATAAAATAATTAGATATACAGAAAATATGGATTGTATGACCCCTAAACTGGGATTTAGTAAAAAATTATTTCAGTGCCTATAATATAATATGAATAATAATAATAATACAAGAAAAAATTATGAAATTTAACTTAAAATATAACGATTATATTGTTCGTGCATTACACAAAGCATATCCTAAACCTGTACAGTATATGTATTCATATTAATTTTAAAATAAAGTACATTTGAGTACAGTACACCAAGCCCTTGTTATCTGCGAGGAATAGGGCTGAAAAATTTTTGCAGCAACAATACTGTGTAAAGTGCTGTAAACTTGCAGCAGAGTTGTGTGCAAGGTGTGCTATTGACAAACTGCCCACTGCCTTCACACTGATGTTCATTATCAATGAGAGGCGAGGGGCTTAGGGGTAGAATATTGGCTTGTGGGAGATGATGATGGAGATTCATGGAGTTCTGATTCAGACACAGGAGTCGCACTTTCTTAAGGTTTAATTAGGATCATAGTTGTGGGAAGGTGATGAGTTTTTTTCTTGGTTCTTTATAAATCTCTGCACAAGGAGTTGCAACATTTTTCTACTTTAATTTTGAACTTAATGCTATATTCCAAAGGAGGATCATATTTATAGAACAAATCAGATAGTGCTATTATAGCTGCTTGAGTGTGTAGGAGAGCTGTGCAATGCATTGCCTTTCTATCTTTGTGTTTCTAAAATGTATTCGAGAGGACGAGATGCTGCCCCAAGATCAACCTCGTGAGTACTTGGCAGATGGCAAATTCGTGGATAACAAGGACTTGGTGTATACAGTACATTAGTCGAAAGACAGTGATAAGGTTCTCATTGCTAAGTTTCCCAATATCTTACATCAAAATATATATCTTGTAGAATTCACAAATTTCTTTCAATTTGTGAGGCAAGTTGTAAAAGTATCTGATTATGTGGAAATTTTGGTTATTTTTTTGGATAATTTTTTTTTTTTTTTAACAGGGATTAGCCCACCCGGGCATAAATCAGACTCACATCGGGGCCTGGTGGGCAAAAATGTAATAGTAATAATAATTATAATAATAATAATTATTCATAGTAAATAAAAATTTTAATTAAAATACTGTACACCAAAATAAAATAATAATGATAACAATAATAATAATAATAAAATTAATAATAATAACAATATACTGTAATAAAATAATAATAATAATAAAGAAATACAAGAATGAAAAAAAGATCAAAAGTGAGAAATGCTACCTAAACCTATGAATAATTATTACAGTATTATTGTTATTATTATAATATCCCCTCCCCCCCAGGCCCCGATGTGGGTCAGTGATCTATGCCCGGGTGGGCTTATTAAAAAAAAAAAAATCTGAAAACCGAAAAATTCCGAAATCTGAAATGCCTCTGGCCCCAAGGATTTCGGATAAGGGATTGTCAACCTGGTACACTAAATAATATATAGTGTATATATAAAGTGCACTGAAACATGACAATATGAGCTACCTAATTAGAAATGAGTTGTAAAAATAGTTTTACTTTTCCAGCTCCTCCAGATGTAAGTACTTACCAATATGATGAAACCTCAGGATATTATTATGACCCTACAACCACGCTATACTATGATGCAAGCAGCCAATATTACTACAATGCAGAGAGTGGTCAGTACTTATACTGGGATGCTGAAAAATCAACATACCTTCCTGCACCAATTGGGGAAGATGGTCATGTGGGCAAGAAGGGTGACAAGAAGGAGAAAGAGAAGGATAAGCAGGATAAGGTTAGCCAGCCACTGCTTCTGATTTTTAACCACCATAGAAATAGAGGCGAATGTTTTATAGTGATAATTACTTGCACGGGAGCTAAAGAATATATTAGTCTGGTTAAGTCAAGATAATTGATTTTACTTTTTAGGTAAAAGTAGCAAAGAAAATTGCCAAGGATATGGAGCGATGGGCCAAGGCACAGAATAAACGTAATGAGAGCTCAGTGATTAGTAAAACTGCTTCAGCCGAGCCTGCAGGAGGAGCAAAGGGTGAGGGCGGCGGCACAGGGGCTGCAGATGCTGCCTTTGCTGTTTTGTTGGAACGAAGGGATCGTGCATCATTGGTGGAGAAGCAGGCCCAAGTGTTCCACATGCACATGAAGAAGGAAGCACCACCTGTGAGTTTTGTCATTTTATTTTTATTATGTATAATTTGTTGAAGTAAAAGTGAATTAATTTAATTACATAGTGATGTTTGCACATTTAAGACACTCAAATTATGTATAAGCATTAGTAATGGTAATGTAAATTGATTCCTGCAACATGTCATCATTGTGGAACTTTGATTTCATTTGGCATAAGGGTATTTTAGTCATAAAAGTATTGTGTATATGCCAGTGAGTAAGGTTCTAGGTCCTGCTAAGGTTTATATGGTGTGATTTAGCATGTATAATTTTAGACTTGTGCATGTAATATACACAGCTATGCAAACTAGGACATTGCTCTGACAGCTCCTAACAGCACCTTATTTATTTATTTTTTATTACCTCTTGGTGTGATCCTTACCTTCTCCTAATTGTAAATTGTATTCTATAATTGTCCTAAGTTTTTACAGAGTTAATGCATACACATTCCTTGAAATTGTTGTCTTAACTTTTCTGCTGTATATCTTTACAATGCAGAGAATGAATGACAACAAATTAGAGGAGAGTCTTCATTACTCTTGAGTCTGTCCACCCTGCAATATAATGGGAAAAGGGCTTGCAAGAGTGAATAAAATAATGAAATACATATGTCAGTGTATAGATGGAACTAGATGAGTTTCTCTTCACACTGCTGCTAACAATTAATGATTTTTGCAGGTATTGGCAGGACTGAAAAAGTCAGGGCTGGTAGCAGCTTATGGAGGTGAAGGAAGTGATAGTGAGGAGGAAGGTGGAGCTGGATTAGGTAACCTTGCTGGTGATGACAGATGGGAGGACAAGCTGGTAGATTATGTCAAGATGGCTTGCCTTCTCTGTAAGAGGCAGTTCCCTAACAAGGAAGCACTTGGGAGGTAAGATAAGTATGCAAAGTGATATTACTTCTCTATTAACAAACAATTGCCCAAGATAAATCGGCTTTGATAAAAAAAATCAAGAAAAAATACAGAATGCTTCTAGGATATTCATTTGGTTGTTTTTGAATATTGAAACTGGTTTAGTAATGGTGTGTAAGTACCTCAACAAGTGATGGAGTTATATGTTTTATATTCTCATTTTCTTCCAGACATGTACAACTGTCAGACCTTCACAAGACAAACTTGGAAGCAATGAGGAAGTCCAAAGGCGGAGAAGGCGGTGGTCCAGGAGGGTTGACGTCCGCTCAGTACAGAGACAGAGCCAAAGAGAGACGGCAAAAGTATGGGGAGCCCAGTGTACCTGCACCCAACAAACTTAAGGTTCATACTGGCAGTCGTACAACTCCAGCTTTCACACTCAAATAAGGCTTCTTAAATCCAGTGTAATTAAAGGTAGCAAACATATCCCATGTGAAACATACTTGCATTGAAACTAGAAGGGGAATATTGTGATAGGCTGATCTCTACGAAACTGCTGTGTTGGTGTGGAACATGTCTTTATAAAGAAAGGATGGAATGAAAATGCTGTTGTCATTATAGGGATGTGCTAACACTTGCTGTGGATCTAGAATGAATTGATATTTGTGTGGGATGTGCTTGTTCCAGCTTTTTGGATAGTGTTATGGTACTTGTCGCTTGCTAGTTGCAGTTCACTTTGTTTCTAAACTGCCAAGGAAGTAAAAGCAAATGTTGCCTCAGGCAGAAAGTGATTCGTACTTTTGAATTACTTATAGTTTAAGATAATTTCTAATAAGACACCTGACTCGGAAGACTTGTGTGGTACCAGTTGAAGTCTAAGGGATGAAAACACAGTCCCTCAACCTTGGTAGTTTGAGTTATGGAATAATGAGTTTAAAACCTTCCTGTCACAATGAAAACCTCCCTAAGAAGAGGTTTTAAAGGCAACAAATACCACTTAGATGATGGCTGAAGAATCTGACACACCTGTTGTTTGCTTAGCAACAGTTTGCTTAGCAACATTAATTTAGCCAAGTTAAAAAGCAACTAAACTGGGTTTATCTCACAGTTCTACCCAGTTGTCTCTTCTGATTTTTAAAAGCAACATTACAACTGCTCATACTTCAGATAGTTTTAACAGTATTAGATTATAGGGCAGATTTATGATGTCTTGAAATTAATTTTCTCTTCTGCGTACATAATCTAAAAGCATTCCAGTGAAACCTCTTTCGAGTTCCCACGTGTGATTCATACCTTTTCTAAGCTTAAGTTGATTGACTGTGTTGCTCTTGAAGATATCTCGAGATATTTCTTCTTGTGGTATCCCAAGCAATCATTGTAAGGGATTTATAGCATAATGCTCTATTAAGGGTTGGAAATATCAACTTATTTGACCCCATTATCTCGGGCTAGTAAAAGTGGATTGAATTCTTGTCTTTGTATCTAACAAATAGCTTATTGGCCTGACAGGATTAGTTTTTTTTGCTGGAGATATGGAGAATGGTTTTGCCCATTTTCTTAATTAAAGCATTTCTTATCTATGGTTGCAGATATTTCATCAACATTCTTCAGGGTATCAGTCAGAGCTTTTGTCTTATATAGTTTGCATAAGGCATTAAAGTAACCCATGTGGGGTGGTTTTCTTGGACACCTGGGCTCATCATGTCATTTTTTACTTTTTGTAGAGGCAGGTATTGGTAGTCTGTCCTACTAGAGCAGTAGTTCTCAACCTTTTTCACTCCATTCCCCCCTTGAGGAATTTTCAACATCCTCGTGGCCTCCTTCATTTCCCCCCCCCCCCACAAATAATGTTGAAAAATAAAATGCAGATGAAGAGAATACTCTTATTTTATTTCAAGGTTGACAATCATCATTATCTTATATTTTGATAGACTTACATGATTTACATAATTGACGTCACTAGACTAGAGTGACTACTAGACAAGCCTCACAGCAAACTTGAATTTGGTTGGGAAAAAGTTCATATGACCTCTGCATATTTGGTCAAAGCTCGATGAGAAGGCTGACATTGTTTCCTTTCAGTCAGGTGACTGATCCGAGGTTGTGTCACTGACAATGCACATCTCATGTCCGGGTCCACATCCAGTCGGTTCCGGCTTTTACTCTTTATATGTAGAAGGGTGGAGAAACCAGATTCGCATAAATAGGTAGTTGAAAAAGGCAAGAGGACTCGAAGTGCGATCTTGCTAACTTTTGGATGTGACTGATACATTGAGCACCAGAATACAGTCAGAGATCTTTCTTCATAGAGATCTTTGGCAGCAGAATCATTCTTGAGATCAAGAAATTTGTCCTGAACATCATTGGGAATGGTAGCAATATCATGAGTGCCAGAGAAAGGATTCCTCACCAATTTCCCATCTTCCTCCTCGAATTCTGGGAAATACTTTTTGAGCTCACTTTCCAAGGATTTCAGGTGCGGAGTGATTTCAGTTTTGAGTGATGGGTCAAGCAGATGATCTTCATTCTCATCAAGAACAGTTGAAAGATGCTCAATCATGGCAACATTTCCTGCATTGATTTTCCTTTGCCTATTCTGGAGCTTGGCAAGAAATGCACGAAGGCAATCCATGAGGTGAAACACATTTCTGTCCTTGCCCTGCAGCTTGAGATTCAGCCTGTTTAGCTGCTCAAATATATCTGCTAAATATGCAAGATGTGGCTCCCACAACACCTCATTGAAGTGACTTAATAGGTCATCTTTCCCTTGCACTTCCAGGAACAACTTAAGCTCTCCCCGAAGTTCAAACATTCGATTCACAACATTGTCCTTGGAAAGCCAGCGCACTTTGGAGTAAAAGAGGAGGGCTTCATGCTCTGAATCCATGTCTCTACAAAGGTTCTGGAAAAAGCGAGAGTTCAGATCTAAAGCTTTCACAAAGTTGACACATTTGACCACTGCCTCCAGGATCTTGCAAAGTTGATCAGGGAGGGTTTTAGACGCCAGTGCAAAACGATGGATCATACAATGGATCCCCTTGGCATTCGGAGCTACTTCCTCGACACGCTTCTGAAACCCCGGTTTTGATCCCAGCATCGCCGGAGCCCCATCCGTACAGGCTCCACAACAATTTTCCCAGCTGATCGATCCTGTTAGCTGTGAAGAAAGAAGACAGCTTTTCAATCACATCTACAGCTGTTGTGGTGGTCTCAAGCTGTGTACAGAACAGATATTCCTCCTTGACGTCACACAAGAAAACATACCTAACAAACACGAGTAGCTGTGCACAAGAACTCACGTCCGTTGACTCATCCAGCTGTATTGCAAACATACCAGTTGAAGATAATTTGATCTGTATCACTTTTTCCTTTGTCATCTGACATTTCATTAATTCTCTGTTTCACTGTATGGTTTGACAAGGAAATTGTTGAATTTTACGTTCACTTGCCTTTCCAAGAACCCGTTTGACCATTTTTAGAGCACATGGCTTAAAGTTTCACCAATTGTATGGGGCTTCCTTTGCTTTGCTATTTCGAGGGAAACCTCGTATGATGCCTCAACTACGGTCTGTTGTTGGAAGGCACCACTCTCGTCCAGTTTCTGTTTTCCCAAACTCCGTTCATGGCGCCTGAAGAAATCGGTGTCTCTCTCCGCATACTGTGGATGGATTGTCATCAGATGATGCTTCAGCTAACTAGGCCTCATAGCTTCGTTCCCAGCACTTTGAAGCACAGCACAGGATTATATAAGTAAAGAATTAGTACGAACAACAATGGCACCAATAAATAAGGAAATAATTAATAAAGGAAGTGTACAAATATTTCACCCACGTAAAGCAGCGACCACATGAATTATGAAAAATAAGTAACATCAATTACGGAGTATATTATGCTCGAGTCAAGCTCAAACACAATATATGGTTCAGAGACAATACACTCCACTTTTTTCGTGATGGTATCCCAGGCCAGACTGAGATCATTCGGTCCTATCACCACTTGCAAAGGGATGACACACAGACACATACTGAACAAGTCAGTTCAGCAGCTCGGTCCAGCGCCTGTCACACAGATAGGGACTGGACCTGTGAAATCTTAAATAATCCGTAAAAAAAAATTAGCACCAGAGTATGTAAATATTAAAGTTGTATTGTCGTTATGATTAAACAAAATGACAAAAAATGAATGAAAATTCTCTTCTGGCAAGTCAAAATAAGTAATACAGGTTTTGTTTAATTCAGATTCCCAACATTATTTGGAAACATACAATTTATAACAGCTCGCCGTGGCTCCCCTAAATTCTTGCCATGGCTCCCTTGGGGGCCATGGCCCCCAGGTTGAGAACCACTGTACTAGAGGAACCCAGGCTATGAAAATTTCAAATTATTCACTGCCATGATAAAGAGAATTGAGTTTTGAAACTGCTTGGCTTTGAGGAGTTGGTAAGGTTCGTTCTTTACTTTTTACTATTGTTAAATAGATCTTCTATGCTTTTGGGAAGCAGTTATGATAAGTCTTGGAGGCTATAAATGAAGGAATCCTCCTAAAATCCCACTTCACAACTAAGCCTGGATTAGGCTACTGCGTAGCATTGAGGTAGGCTGGAACTGAGGGATTAAACTAGCAATGATGGTTTACAAGTGAACCAAATGAGAATCACTTGTGTGACAGCAAGACACTTTAAAAAAAAGGTAGCCGAATGGTAGCTGTTGCCTCTTGAGACATTGTTTTAGGGGCTGTGGTTGTGACAGGAAGGTCTTACACTGATAATTCCATAAATTCAAACCACCAAGGTTGAGGGAGATGTGTTTTCAACATGTAGACTTGCTGGTGATGCATGTGTTGACTGATCCAGGCTTGGTAAATGATGAATTTTATGATCAGTTCCTCATCTTAACATACTTTAATCATGTATGTAGGTGTTCTAAGTGTTGTGTGTATTGCACTGATTTGATTTTACCTGGAAAGCCATTATTTCAGTATAGACTTTGGTGTACAATTATTTAACTATTAAAACTTCATACTGAAAGTGATAGACCAGAAATTGTCTTTTTATTAATAAAGTAAGTGAATTGTAGAAAACATTGTACCCCAATGGAAGGATTACAACTATGCAATGATTTTAAAATAGTTTGTCTCCTTTAACAGACTGATTGTATAAGTTTTGACATCACAAGATACTCTGATACTGGAAATTAATTGCTGAGAAGTCTGCTGCACTTTTTGCCTTTTAAAATGCTCACTTCTGTGCATAGAATGAAGTTTACAACAAAGAAAAGGATTGTTTTTTTTTAATTGTACTTTTAGGAGATAATGGAGTATTTTTATGGTGTTGAAAGGGAGAAAGAGGACTGGACAGTTGAAGAAAAGCACAGTTTCATTGGTTATTTCATTGCAAGTATATTTGCAGGGCATTTTTGCAGATTTATAGGTAATAAGCTGGATTTATTCAAATTCTTTTGTTCTTATTCTCTCAGTGCTGTTGTCAATATTTTCCTTGAAATTTGTTAGAACTCACAACCCATTTTTCAATATTATTATGAGTAGGGTAGTTTATATGTTTTATGAAATTTGTCAGTTCATGAACTGGATAATTTCATATACATAGCATAACAACACAACACAATACATACACAAACAACTAAGAATTGACTGTTTTGAAGACAGTAACTGTTGATTAGAAGTAATGTGTTTCCCCATTCATCTTATCACTTCATTCATCATAATTTTATCATTTAATTTTAGATTTGTTTAATATTAAAACTAGGGTGTTAACAATATGCTGTTGAGGTGCCAGAGATATTTTTGTACAATAAGTTAAGGAAACTGCTTAGAAAATAGATACAAGAATGTGTTGGTTTGGATGTAGTAGGAAGCCATAATAGATAGATCACATACCCGGTACTGTGTTGTTACTGATCTGAAATTAAATCGTTAGGTTTGAAATTATGAAAAGTTTAGGTGCTGAAAAATGTGTAGAGGCTTGGAAAAGAGCACTAATTTAGTGGTGAATTATTCAAGAATGATCAATATATAGACTTTTTTGAGAGAGAGAGAGAGAGAGAGATGTAAGTTTTATATACAGTATATAGAAAATAGTATGAGTGTGTGTGAAGACAATTATAGTACAGTATGTGTATGGGTCTAAGAATCAGTTTATGCACTCTGAACCTTTAAAAATAAGCACAAATTCAGGTGTGTGGGAGGTATGTATGTCCTCATCACTGCTGAACTTTTGTATATATTTCAAGTTGGCATTGCACTGATTTTTATTCCTATAGATAATGTACGAATAATTATTTTCACACATACACCCATGTCTTATGCCACCCTTTAACTCCTGATGTTATCCCCAACATAAAATTATCACAGTTTGAATTTCAGGGAGATTGTCAGTGTTGCTACCCATCTATTGCCAGTGTTGCTACCCATCTATTCATTTCTAGTAATTTTAATGTTGCATAGATTTGATAGGGTGACTTAGGTTTTTGTGTGAAATTATATGCGCTATGACAGTTTATTGCCGAGATTTTTGGGGCATTTTACTAGTCTTTTAAGTAATTGCTATAATGGCATTTGCAGCAGGAGATGGTTGCCCCATATCCAGTGAGTGTTTTTAGCTTATTTGGATATTGTGGTAACCTTTTGGCATCATTATTGGGCTTTTAAGTGTTCATATCTTTCTCAAGATATTTTAGCCCCTATACCCTGCTCCGACGATCGATTTGCACATCAGAATCGTTCCCTGGTGTAGCAAGTAGTGAAGTTTGACTACAACTTTCCCATTGAACCCTTATGCTATAACAGGTTTGAGACATAGCACTCACTCCCGAATATAGCTTGATTTTTTTAAGTTATCCCCCAAAATTATTTTGACTACCAGTGAATTGAGTATTTATTCCAGATGATAAAAATATATAACTGTCAAACCCATGAGAACAGTTACACTTTTCATTTTCTGTTGCATTTTATCTGACTCACGATATGCATTAAGCACACATGGCCCAGGTCATTAGAGTTGATGCTATCCAGTAAAGCCATTGCGGATTTTGTTGCACTTGTGTGGCAACATGATGCTCTCATTCAGGCTTCTTCTACATGTTAAGGGGAACTGATGTATAGAAGGTGGAATTAGTTGCCTTATTGTGGCGAATTTGAGAGCAAGAAAATATAGTTACCAGCTACAGTGAACGGGAAAATAATAACAGCCTCTGAAAGGGTAAAGATTTGAAGATTATTCTTAATTAGGAAAAAGGTTAACCTTGTACAGTACGTGAAAGCTGTCTTAGGCAGATTCAAATGAATTCTTTGTGCAAATTCTATGCATATATGGAGGTTTGTTTGTTTAGCTTGAGCATTTTTCTTGCAGGACCCTGACATGCACACACAACTTAAACAGATTCAAGTTCAGAAATTATTAGGTTGTGTACTGTATGTATAAATTTTGGTACAATAACTTCTATGTTTACGTTGTTCCACTTGAACATCGCCGACAAATTAGGGAACCACTTTATTTAAATTTCACTTCTTCTTTAAAAGTTTGTTTTGGAAATAGAAAATGAACATAAACTAGCAGTTCCCTGAATTTACCAAATAGATGTCTCCCTGAAGAGTTTTATGTATCCAAAATTACTTTTAAAGAAATTGCTTATCCATAGACAATCATTTTATAGCTGAGAATAATTTAAATTGTAAAGGGTTTCTCGGTGCCATATGAATAAAATGGGAAATTCTTGTAAATGTTGTGGGCAACTTGTTTTGAGTTATTATTCATATTTGTATAATTGTTGTGTGCACAGTAATAAATCCTTTTCATTTAACTGCCAACACATTCTTAGCTGCCCAATTGTATGTTTAGCTTTATTCAAAGCACACTGTTTTTCTAAATTGTATTAATTTTGTAAATTGGTATGCTTATGTAGTTGCCTATTAAATTTTTTAGAAAGGTTGTGATATAGGAGGCTGAAGTAGAGCAGTACACAGGTATTAAGAAATTGTGGTAGGAAAATGCATCCAGATCACATATTCCAGGTTAAAAAAAAATTTGTGTAAGTTTCTGTAAAATTTCTTAAAAGTCTCTTAATGGTAACATGTGTGTTTTATCTTTGTAGGAACGTTATATTGCCTCAAGGGAGGAAGTAGCGGCCTCTAAATATGAAGAGCCAACCAAGCAAGGTATTGGCAGTGACAACATTGGAAATAAGCTACTGAAGAAAATGGGCTGGACCGATGGACAAGGTCTCGGCAAAGCAAACCAAGGTCGGACATCAATTATTGAGACTGAACGGCGTGTTGCAACAGCTGGCTTGGGCCTACAAGGGAGCACCTACAGTGTTGTAGGAGATAGTTATAAGGAATGTGTCAAGAAGATGATGTTTCACAGATATCAAGAATTAGATGCCCAGGAGAAGTCTGTGAAAAATTAAAATTTTAGAATAAGTGGGTCTTCTGTAGACACATCAGACAGATAACACTTGGTTGCTGAAATGATATTGTGAATGGCTTGCCATAACTTAAACAACACAACAAAAACTGGTTGATTCACTGAATGCGACCCTTCACCACTGAGGGAAGAGAATTAGCGACAACTTGAAAGGTCAGTCTCCCTAGACAAACTTAACTACAGTACTTCCTTCAAGTCTGGGTTCATTTAACCTAAGTGGGCTGTTGTATCATTTTGAAGTAATGTGTTGTAGGAGAATGTCAATATTCTACATCTCAAATCATACATTAATACTTGTTTGTTGCAAGTGATTTTTTATGATTTGATTCCCTAAAGAGATCCAAGACTTGTGCAAATAAGGCTGATTTAAAGCCATGTACAAATTTGTGTATTCATAATGATTTAATCGTTTACTCGAGACTTGAACCTGGTTGTCATTTTTGCTGAACTTTAAAAAAATGCAAACTTTTTGGTGATGACAGCCATTCTTGTCTGTGTAAGATACTTTCTCTGACCAATCTTCATGTGGCTATTTCCTTGTGTATTAAGTTGATGTGATATTGTTTCTTGGTAATTTACTTTCTACTTGGGATAGTCCACTCTGTCAAATATACTGTATAAAAGATGAATGTAGCTTGTTTATAATATTTTTGTTTATATTTTGTGAGATGCTACATAAATGTTTAAGGATACACTTTGTTTCTTATCTTCCTTATAGTCGTTCATGAACTTATGTGCATACTGGGTGTGATGGACTATACCATTGGACATTTTAAATCTTTGATAGCACCTATAGAAAAATATTATAGGAGTGACAACTCGGCCAATCCCTTCATATAAAAAAGGTAATTGGTGGATCTACTCAAATGATTCAGTAATTAATAAAGTAGAGAAGGGTATTCAATTAGGACAGGGTAGTAGAAATTGAAAGTAATTATATAAGTAGGTTTGACATTTATTAACTAAACAGAAATTAGAATTTTGAAAAAGTAAAAAGACCAGTATTCCTAAATATTTATTATCGGTTATTAACATGAACACTAACAAATTACAATTATTGTATGTATGCACTGTGTATCTTAGCATTAATCTTATGCTAGCGATTCAATATTATACTACAAGAATATTCATGTTGCAAGAACTGTACAATTATGATGCTGGATTTCAGATACTATCCAACTTAGCCACTAACCATACATTGTGGAATTCTCTGGAACCAACTACTGGCTAAATTAGTTAATGCAGCTTATGCCTTGGCCATTGATTTAAATTGTTCAGGAAAACAAAATTATCCTATATTATTTGGTCTCTACTGTTTGTTACAAGACGTAAAAAATGTAAGTCACAACCCCTTTAATCCCCAGCTTCTTCAAATCCTGTTCAGACCTTCTGCCTGAACATTTAATGAAAACTGTAGCGTGACAAACCCATAGGAAGTGTTTAGGTTTCAAATGTGATTCACAATTTTAGCAAAATAATTGTGGGGCATAATTTATTTTATTTTTTTTCTGCTAGTAAATGTGAACTTAATTAATATAATGCCTAAGCCTTAGATACAAAGGCACCTTACATAGGTAAGACTGGAATTTGGTAGATGTGAACCAATTTATCTCTAAATTTTCTAAATATGTGAAATTAATTCCTATAACTATATCAAATACAACATTGGGGTTTTAGGAGTGACTGTTCCTCTGTCATATATTATCTGCTATCCTTTCTACTTTCCAGGTCTCTTAAATGTTTTTCACTTTATTTCAAATGTATTGACCCCCCTCATATCCTCAACCTCTTTGATGTGTACAGTATTTTCATAGTTACTTTAATAACTTCTATCTCCAAATAGACACATGCATCAGAGTTTAACATTTTATGCCTCCTGCCATAGAATATGGAGAAGCATTTAGTGTAACTTAATAGTGTATCCATACAAAACTTTATGTTTAGGAAATTGGGATAGACTTCACAAATCAAAGTATTTGGTATGGAGCCTCATAAAAAATAAAAAGTCTTGACTGAGTTCAATTACCAGCTTTTCCAAGCCTATTTGCCAGTTATATGGCCTCAGTTCAACTTAAAAAATAATATTTTTAATGAGGGCAAACAACTTCAGATACAGACTCAAGCTTCTCCCGAAATATATTTTGGATTACTTTAGGATGAACAAGATTAATAATTTTCTAGATCAAAAATATTGTCATCTTTTAGTAACCCAGTTCACTGAATGTTAGATCACAGATATTCCAATGAGCATTTGTTTAGATACTTTAATTGTACTTGGTAATTCAACCATTTCATCAAGTGACTACAGTACTCTGTGCCACTAACAGTGAGCTTGAACACCACCTGTGATACCAAATAGTGCTTTTTCATCTACATAAATGTACCTGTTCTAGGTTTGGATATACAACTCGCATGGCTGCATTATCAGTTATACTGTACAATAGAACGTTGATATATCACGAGATACGTTCCAAGAGAGGTCGCTTTAAACTGAATTCGCACTAAATCGAAGTGTTGTTTCAATGGAATAATTTAGTTTGGTTGAGAGAAACACAAAATACTAAAAAGACAGTCTATACCCAGATGCACCTCAGCCCATCTAGAATAAACAAAACATTGTTTTTTGTAGTAATATGTTAAAACAAACACTCGTAAATCAATGCAGCTAAAATTATGGGACGTGAAATGGTCTGTTTACTAGTGATCAGCTGATGGAAAGATGGAGGGGGGGGGAGGTGATATGTTTGACAGTTGATGCCAAGGTCTAGTGCTTATTTATTTATCTGTCCTTAAGATTGCCTTTTAAGTTTTTCTCTTATAAAATGTCACTGAACTGACATGAGAGAATTAATTTTATTACAAGGCTAAAATTTTTGTCTCGTGCAAAATATATGACGTTTATATTCAAATTATTCGCTGTCTTGCAAGGATTCTAGCAATGCAAATTATATGTTCCTAACTTTAGTCTGTGATGTTATATAAGATAAAACCTGTAAGCCTATAACCACCCAATCCTGGCTGGGAAGATTTGGGGGGGGGGGGGTGACATGTTTGACAGTTGGCGGAAGGTCTAGTGAAGTATTTATTTGTTTATTTAAGTCCTTTAGATTGAGTTTTTGTTTTTTGTTTAAAATGTCACAGAAGTGACCTGGGAGGATATAATTTACATCGCTGGAAATCTTATAAGATAGTGATTAATTTGAGTTTAGTCATGCTATAGTTTGCACTAGACAAAAATTTTAGTGATCATTTAGTACATTATTTTGAGTACATGTACAGTACAGCTTTGCCCTTAGGACAGTGTAGCGTGCCCAGAGAAACATTAGGCGCGAATTTTAAAATATGATGCGCCAGATTGACTCTCGCAAAATAGGAAAGATTCACTTTAAATTAAAACATTGTCCTTAATTGTGGGTGTCGCTTTAAATCAATAATCTTAAATTTAATCACTTTAAATCAACGTTCTACTGTACTAGAGTACTTTAAAAGGAATTTCATAAACTAACTACACTATATGTAATGTAAATACAGTATACTGAAATGAGCAAGGGAACAGATCATGTGCTTGGGTCTCTGACTTGACCTTTCTTCCCAGTCTGTGAGCATAAGGCTAGTATTGTACTCAGTTAACCAAAAAAGAAGAGCAGTGTTACCTTTCAATTCTAGCCATCTTGCATTTATAGCAATAATTGGCTTGAAGGAATGAAAAGACTAATTGCAAATTTGTGTAAACGATCCATTTATATTGTTTCTAACCATTATTATTACATTCCTAAATTTGTGTGGTACTTAATTAGGTGTAGAGAAACCTATAAAAAAGTGAGGGAATTTTTTGGTTAAATGGTACTACAGTATGGTGGACAAAAGTTCCTTCCCTCAGCCAGCCACAATGTGACTGAATCTCCTGAGTTTCGAATAACGAAGGGAAGTGCTGTAATCATCCAACAGATGGCGCACTGTGTAGTGTGTATGACGGGAGATGGGGGCCAGAGGAGGAAAGAGAGGGAGGGCTGTGGGAAGGGACTTTTGTCCATCATAGTACAAAACAATTATTGAAAATGATATGGAAATACAAAACAAGTAGAAATGCTCTACATACAGTATTGTACTTGTACAGTATATGATTTTCCAAATTATGGAACATTCCATACATATGAAGAATAAATTATTATAGCAAAATCAATCAAGTTTTTACAGCTAAATAATCTTGCCAAGTCTTGGTCTATTTTTATACCAAGGGTACTCAATTAGACCTTATCCCTGTATTGAGGAGTTGGAGAGCCCGTTCCTATGTTGACGATAGGCAATGAGGGTGCAGTACAGTATCTGTCAATGGAAAAGTTTGGGATCAAGAGGCAAGTTGTGGGTGGGGGAACATGGCGAGCATAGCGAGCCCAACCACTTGGGGGGACGCTGTAAGCCCTGCAGAATTTTTTTTTAAATCTGACCAATATCATGGTCATTTTGAAGCCATATGCACATGATAATGGGAGATATTCTGAGGTCAATAGTAATTACTTTTAACTATACAGTAAAAGTCCAAAAATCCGGACCACCCGAGAATCCGGACTTTTAGGAAATTCAATTTTTTTTTTTTTTTTAGCGGGCTTTTGTGTGTATGCGCATGCGTGAGTGCCACAGCTGCACAGCGACGACAAGCGACCACGTGGTCGTTCACTTTAAAAAGAGCAATCAAACTGTGACAATATATGTAATTTTGAGTCCTACTCTTTTCATTTACAGAGTACTGTACTGTACAAGCCCATAATAATGGCTCCTAAAGTAGATAAACTTCGTTGTGTGAAGAGAAAGAAGAACACGTTGAAATTGAGTGACAAACTTGAAATAATTAAGAAACTAGAACATGGTGTGAGCAATACTGTTCTAATGGAAACATACGACATTGGAAAGTCTACAATTTATGATATAAAAGAGGCAAAAGAATAAAATTCTAGAATTCACAGCTTTTTCCTTAAAACTGCTCGTTTTGATAAATGAAGCATGCTATATTTGCTTATGAATAAACTATCAAAATGTACCTCTTCATCTCTTCTTTATTCCTCCTTAAATTTGAATTTTAAAAGTACTGCCTGAGAATCCGGAAAATCCAAATATCCGGACTGTATTTTAATTTTCTGATGAAAAGAGGGGGGGGGGGTCCAGATGCACCCCTGGATATTACATAGATACCATCAAGAACATGTTTCCAAGGAAAGCATGTAATAAACCACAGTACGTACAGTACTGTGATTGTGTCAGTTTGGTTATAATATTAGATTCTCTAACACTCGGTCTTATTAAGCTAGAGATAAGCTTTCAATGTGTCGTCATTCTCCTACAATCACCAAATAACTTATTCTTCAAACTCATGTGAAGACAAGTACAGCTACTCCTCGACCTACGACCACCCCAGTCGTCCCAAAATTTTGTCAAATTACGTATTTTCGAGTCCCAACGCTGTGTACTGACAAAATTTTCGTTTGTAATTCACTTTAAAATGGCTGGCAAGCTTATAAGTGAGAGTTTTGTCATGCTGAGAAGAAAAAGAGACACCCATTTTAGATTTTCTATGTATTATTTAAGCATTTTCGACTTACGACCAATTCGACTTACGACCTGGATTTGGGTCCCTAACCCCATCGTAAGTCAAGGAGGAGCTGTATACTCATCACACACCAATACGCACACATCACTCGGCCAGTTGCCTGATTATCCAATTTCTCCTCATTTACTTCCATACAATGTGTGAAAAATTAAATTAAAGAAAATTATCCTATAAGTACTGTACTATACAGCTGCTCCCCGACTTACGACGGGGTTAGGGACCGACATCCAGGTCGTAAGTCGAAATGGTTGTAAGTCGGAAATGCTTAAATAACACATAGAAAATCGAAAACGGGTGTCTCTTTCTCTTCTCAGCACCACAAAACACTCACTTTTAAGCTTTCTAGCCATTTTAAAGTGAATTACAGATGAAAATTTTGTGTGTGTACTGACTTTGGGACTCGAAAATACGTAATTTGACCAAATTTTGGTTCGACTGAGGCAGATCGTAAGTGCGGGTGGACGTAAGTCGAGTAGGTCGTAAGTCGGGGAGGAGCTGTATTTAGAATGTTAAAATTTTCCCTAAAATAATTTATTTTGTACGGTAGGTTTTCAGTTGACAGATACTTTGCTGTATCTCTATGCCAAGTAGAGTCTCCTGCCTGACGATCACTTGTGCTAAGGATAGTCACTCTGTCTGCTCTTGGAACTGCAAATACAGCAGAGTGGGGAGTCAGTGCGAGTACAACACAAACAGCAGATGATGGCGAAGATGAGCCCTGCAAGAGGAAAAGATGATAATTCTGTTTGTAAAAATCAGGTTTGTTTGATTGTTTTCCTGGACATACAAAGTAATTTATGTATCCAAGGCAAATGATTCGTAAGTAAAAATAAAAAAAATCACAGAAATCATGACCTATGGTACTGGTGTGAAATTTAAGTCATAGTCCAAGTAAACATGTTGACTAGTGTGTGGTTAAGGAAAGAAATTTAATAGATAAACATGATCCACAGGGTACAAAAGGGAAGTGGTGCACAATGTGGAAACTCATAATGTATAGAAAAAGCAATTTTCCAATAGTGGAGGATGCATTCCTGGGGGCTGATTTTCAGACGCCTTACACAACCTATAATGAATTCAATATAGATCATCACTAACTATATAATTACAGTAAATGAATAGTTACCATAAATACAGTAAGTCTTCGCTTAACGTTGGGTTTACGTTCCTGAACAAGCGAAAATCATGCACGCATATACAGTACTGTACATTCAAACTGGACAAAAAGGTAAATTTAGATATTGCAGGGAATGATTTTGACTCAACCATGGTATTATCTTGTGCCAGAAACTAATGACTGAATATATTCCCCTCACACTGGGAAGGATACTGACACAGAATCAAGACATACATTCAATCTTTGAGAGGTGGAAAGGTTGAACCCAGTTGTAGCTTTCATGTGAATCTTCTCTCTAAATTATGCAACACAGATCATTGGTCAACTGAATTAGGGATGCTTACATTGATACAATCTGGAACATATACAGGGTACATCCAAAATTTTAACTAAAACTTAAAAGCTCTGTCTTAATACATAATCTGCACACATAGCATGGCCTAACATGTTGAGATCTATATGAGGTATTCATTCTTCTTGTAGGTTTATATATGATGGAACTCATATGATGAGCAATTCTGATTGACTGCCAAAAATTTTTGACTGGTTTGTACAGGAAGACCTTACGATTTAGTGTTATTTCAATGTACAGTATTAGGTGCACCAGCAGCCAATCTTAAAGTATAATACAATACTCACTAAGTCAGTTTCTGCACAGAACAACAGCTTTTAGAAATAATAAAAGATCTACATTACTCCTTAGTTCTTACCTTACTTTACTTTTATCCTCTTTGCCACTGATCGGCTCGATAGCCGCTTGGGCGATCGGTCACGTCTCTGATTACTTTTCCTTTTTATTTATCCTCTTCACCAAAAGATCAGCTCACTAGCCGCCCGGGCACTATTGGCAAATACTGGGCATGCACCGTCTCCTGAATGTACCTGAACCCGCTCCAGTGTTGGTCAAGTCTTGTCTTGAAAGAGCTCGCACTCGGTGCTGTCACAACACTCTCTGGTAGATTGTTCCAAGAGTTTACAACCCTCACTCCGAAAAAGTTTGCCCTCACGGTTTTCTGGACTTGCGGCTTCTTCAATCTTGAACTGTGACCCCTTGTGGGGCGAGCGTCCGCCAGCTCTAAGTAAGGACACTCGACTGAGTAGTGCCCCCTGAGATGCTTATACACCTCAACTAGGTCACCCCTTGCCCGTCTGTAATATAAGCTAGGCAAGTTCAGGCGCTCCAATCTCTCAGGGTAGCTGAGGTGCCGAAGTGCAGGCACCAGTCTGGTGGCCCTCCTTTGAACATTTTCAACCAACTGACAGTCCCTAGCATATCTCGGGGACCAGACGGGGTGACAGTACTCCAGATGGGGAAGCACTTCACTCTTGAAGATCGTTACGAGGGACAGACCGTCTAGATATCTGAACGACCTTCTTATAAGACCCAATAATTTATTTGCCTGGTTTACCTTCTTCTCGCAATGGCCCGAGAACTTCAGCTCATTGTCAACATACACACCTAGGTCCTTCTCGCATTCAGCCACTCAACTAGTGCAGTTTCTTCATCCCGTTGGGACATATGATACGCCTCCTTACCGTTGGTATGCCCCAGGTGCATCCTCTTACACTTCGTGACATTGAATCTCAGCAACCATTTCTTTGACCATTCTTGGAGCCCACAGAAGTCCTTCTGCAGCTCTTCACAGTCCGCTTGGTTCTTAATTTCCAGAAATAACTTAGCGTCATCGGCAAACATTTGTATGGAGGAGTGTACAACGTCATGCATGTCATTTATGAAACAAACAAACAACAGTGGGCCCAATACACTGCCCTCTGGTACCCCACTTGTGACAGGTACGGATGACGATTTCGTGCCATTAATCACCACACACTGCTTGCGGTCATGTAGAAAGTCTTCTATCCATGCTAGGACATTTCCCCGAATTCCGTACCCTTCCAGTTTGATTTTCAGCCTTTCATGGGGTACACTGTCGAAAGCCTTGGCAAAATCTAGGTAAATATTGTCGATATTACCACCCTGTTCCAGAATATGGGTCCAAATATCCAATACCTTGAGCAATTGTGTTAAACAGGAGCGCCCCGGCATGAAACCGTGTTGGCAATCCTTTACAAGATTGTTTCGTATTAGATGTTCCATTGCTGCATCTCTGATAATACTCTCAAGTACTTTACATATTATGCTGGTCAGGCTCACCGGTCTATAGTTGTTTGTGGAGTGCCGATCGCCCTTCTTGAAGATAGGACTCACATAAGCCACTTTCCATTCACTGGGGACCATTTGTTCATCCAGGCATTTACAAAACAGGATCTTCAGGGGCTCTGCAAGCTCGTTGCACAACTCTCTTAGCACTCTAGGATGCACCATGTCAGGGCCGGGACTCTTATGGACCTTTAACCTGGACAGTCTTCTGTGAACACAATGTGGGTCAGTGCTGTGCCGAACCGTCTGTCCTAAAACGCAGGAAGGTTAGTTGCATCCTCTTGTGAACACCGAGGAAAAGAAGCTGTTCAATGCCTCAGCTTTATCCTGATCAGAATCTGCGTAACTACCATCCACAAGCCCCAGGTCTGATACTCCTACTCGCGTTTTCAATTTCGACTTTGCATAGCGGTAAAACGCCTTTGGGTTTGACTTGACCTCGCTTGCAACCAGCCTCTGGAACTCCTTTTCAGCCCTTCTACACTCTATCTTTGCTTGGTTTCTGGCTCTTGCATACATCCTCCTGTCTTGCTCATCGTTTGACCCAACCCAAGTCTTCAATTTCTGGGTTTTCTTCTTAATTTTGTCAGCGTAGTGTCTGCGTTCTTGTACTTTAATGAGTCAGGCCAGTTGATACCCCTCATCTCTTCCCTTATCCCATTGTAATTTCCCTTGTATTATTTGCACCTTGTCCTGGCCTTATCCTGAACTAGGTAACAGTTAAATCTGAATGACAACGCTATATGGTGACTGGTGCCAACTGGGGTAAGGTGTTCCAGTTTGGTCACCATACCCTCCTCGTTTGTTATGATGAGGTCTAGTGGCTTGGGTGTTTGCTCCCCTCTGTAATGTGTCGGGTCTCTCACATGTTGGAACAGAGAATTATCTCTCAGAGTTTCTACAAAAAGAGTAGCAGGGTTATTCAAATCATTCGGGGTGGACTCGTTTCTCCAGTCGATGTCGCCATAAAGTCCCCCACGATAAGGAGGTGGCTAGGGTTGAGCATTGCCGCGTTGTTTATTAAGGTTCTTAAGTTCCTTTGATTTAGTGGGCCACAGTTTGGGGATCTGTAGATACACCCAACAATAAGTAAGTCCCCTCCCTTTAATTTTTATTTTACACCACTGGACTCTTCAAAAACATCCTCTCCCTGTACCCTCGCCTGGCTGGCTCTAAGGTCTTGCCTAGCATAGATAACCACACCCCTCTTGTAAGTTTCTTGAGAAAGGTTCGTAAATGAGTCATATCCAACAATACTGAACTCACATTACTCTAGGTCGATTCTCCTGTTCTTGTACAACAGTTCTACAACTCCTACAATATCTGGTTGGTGTACTCTTAGTAGTGTTTCAAACTCCTCTCTCTTATCAAGGAACGTATCAGTATTAGTGTACATGACATTCAAGCCAGAATTTTTTCTCGGTAACGTCTCTACTCTTAGTAATAAACCCGCCCCCCCCCCATTCTCAGAAGCTGCAGCATTTGCTAAGTACACTGTATTTTGCAGGGTGTGGTTAGAAATGTACAGTATGTTTTAAAAAGTCAGATAAATAAAGGAGTTAGTATGAATATAAGACATTAACATACAGTACCTGCAACTGAGGGGATGGTGACTGTCAACAAGAAGCTACTCTCATAAAAGATTTCTTTCTCATCTACGTAAGAACCATCATTCGTGACGCACTTAAAATCACTTGGTACTGAGCCCCATGTCTTGTTTTGGCATACAAGCTTTGCTTCAGTTATAAGTCCCACAGCCCTAAAAGAAAAGTGAAAAATCAGTAACATTAATCACAGCAAAAAACAGAGTAAGTGCATAAATTTAACCAAACACATTAAGGTCTCCAACAGAACAAAAATATGTGTTTAGGGATCAGCTTTAGAAAAATAGGTTGAAGTTGTTGGATATTTTATAGCTTTAAGATTGTCCTGAGTAATTCATGTTATAGCTACTGTACAATCAGTCAGATCTATGGGATCAGAACCCATAAGATTTCCAAGAATAATTCGTTACTCCATGCAACCATATCCCTAAATTGAGTCTCTCAGAAACAGCCACTGTAAATGAATGCAAGTCAGTTAACTTGTACCATGAATGTGCTACACATCACCTTATTCCTTTGCCTCAGTTAACATGGGACCTCCATAGCCAATCAACCTTCAGCAATAACATGAGGACCCCTAGACTAGAATAAGTCTTTCTGTATGGTGCTCATAGAGAGCAATGTTCAGAAATATACTATGGCACAGTGGCACAGCATTTTGTTCTGAACTTGAGGAAAGAATGTAATAATCATCTGTTGAATGGCACCAAGTCAGTGTGACAGTGTATTCTTGATCTATAGTACAAATGATAAGATAGCAGTAATTTCACCACCACCTTTCACAAGTTTAAAAGCTTGTTGAAATTTGGGAAGATTCTCTTTAGTGAGGGTAGAAGTCAATATATTGTACTGTACTATATGCAAGAATCCCAATAGGATTTTTTTAACTACTACTGTATATCCTGTACTGTATTCAATATAATAATTGAATTTTACAGTTTAATAAAATAAAATGGTGTCACAATAGCACATAGCACATTTTTATTGGAAATAAAAGTGACAACTCTGGACAAACAATGACGAAGGTTAAAATCAAAATACTGTATACTGTCTATAATGTTGTTTTCATGAGCCAGGTGAACTGTACTGTACTTAAATTGCATGCTAACACTTCTATGGATAGTCCAATTACAATAAATCGCAATACTGTACAGTACTGTAATGTAATTTCAGTATCATGAAAAAGTAACTCATAAAGTGCCTAATTATAACTGGAGTTACCCAAATGCATTTATTTGTTTTAATTGTATTGCTTTCTTACAATAAATGTACAGTGTATATTGGATATACATTTTTAATTTAATTTTCACCACTTATCAGCATACTAGCCATTTGGGTGATCTATCCAGTGTTAGTACAGGAGGAACCAAGGACCGAGAAATCTGTGATAATTGGTAGAGTCACACTGGATAACGCCCTTCTCATGTGTGTCCAAGCTGAGACTCGAACCCTTGACATATTGGTTCACTAAATGAGAACAAAGTGGATCTACCCCAAGTTAGGCATTACAGATCAAAGGGACCATACCACATGGCATTGACAAAAAATTAAATAACTGTCAATATACTACAAACAACAGTTGTTGATGAGGATCATTATCCACACAAAAATTTTATGATACAAATAATATAATAAATGTTTTTCATCACACACCAATACAGTCAGTATTCAGTATCTTTGCATGCAGAATAAGCAATACAATAAACCCTTGCTATTTGCGGGTTTGTGATTCGCAATTTCGACTTCGCGGTAAGCAGATGGTGGCTAGCTTAGGAGCCTCTACCGCAGCGCAACGAGTCACCTCGATGCTCCTGCAGAAAACTTAAGACAAAGAGAGTTCCAATATCTTACAGTACATAATGACACAGTGTTAATCAGCTCTATGACAGTGTTCAGCTCTATCACAGTGTAGTGTAGAAAGAAAGCAGCTTGACATGGATGTAGGCAACTGTGGCCAATGTCAACACACACTTATTTCCCACTGAGACATTTAAATGCTTATGGTGTTCTCATGTTTTGTTTAAGGTTTAAGAGAGTGGATATGTAAGCAGCATCCAGTAGGCTTTTATCAGCATGGAGAGTGGAACTTCTACATCTCACAATTACGGGGGTGATAATAGGAAGGGAAGTGTGCTTGGAGAAAAACATTCACCAGACAAGTTGTATGGTAAGAAAAGGTTTTGTTTCTCATATTCTGTTAGTCTGCACACTGTACTTGTCTATAATTTAATAAGAAAACTTACCCTTTCTTAAGAATTGGAAAAACCAAAAAATTGCACATGGAGATAAATGTCCACCAGACCAATTTTTTATGTACTGTATACACAAATCACCCAACTTTTCCATGGCGATAGTTTAAGGGTCAAGAGAGAAGACTACAGTACCTGTAAACTGTTGTAAACTAGAACAAAATAAACATTTAATTCAATTTTCTTATACTTTGTCAATTGTATAGTAGAGTTGGTGATATAAACATGACAATTATGTACAGTAAATAGAACATTTAGTGGTTTTTTTTTGTACATTGTAAAGATCCCTATGTGTACAAACAAAATGTCAAATTTCTTTACCCACTACAATTACTTTCACACTGCTGTTCTCCAAATAGCCACCTTAGCAATTTCAAAGAACTCTATACAGTGCAGTACCTGTATGTTCACAAAGTCTTAATTTTTTGTCAGATCATGACAGAATATTTATTGTATTGCAGCCACAGTGTTGTCATGTATTGGGTGTCTCATAAACCATGCACCACAGGGAGATTAATGTTTTACGGTCTTTTCTCTTTCAGGTGAGAGAATCATAACAAATCAACAATTATTGGGTGATGAGCACCAATCAAATGGCCACCAAGGTCTCGGGACTCACACTTCTTAATTTCTTCCTCTGGGGCAAACTTTTTCGGAGTGAGAATTGTGAACTCTTAGAATAATTTGCTAGTGCTGTGATGGTACCGAGTGTGAGCTCTTTCAAGGCCAGACTTGATCAACACTGGAGCAGGTTCTGATACATTCAGGAGACCAGTACTTGCCAACAGTGCATAACAGAGATGTGACCGACCGCCCAAGCGGCTAACGAGCCAATCAGTGGTGAAGAGGATAAAAGTAAAAGTAAAAAACGTCATCTTTCAAGATCACCTCAAGAACCATTTATATGACCTCAGAGAAAAAATTGAGCTGTGAGACCCAAAGACCTCAGTGGCCATTCAGTTGGTCATCACCCAATTTTCATTGATTTGTTAGGATTCCCTCACCTGAAAAAGAAAAAAATTACATTAATTTTCCTATGGTGCATGACCAATGAGACACCCTGTACATGGAAAAACAGGTGCTGTGTACTGTATATGTACAGTACTGTACTGTATACAGTAGTCATTGGAATATGATAAAAAGCCTTACATATAGCCATCACTGCAGCTGTAGATGGCCTGGGTGTTTTCATGAAGTTCAGAGTTCCATGTCAAAGTAACATAGTCTGAAACCTGTGGCGGGTTCTCTGAACACCCATTATATTCACACCTGAAAAAAGAAAATCTTTAGAGTACATAGTGTGTTCCTAAAAATGGAATCATATGGTCTAACACTTGAGAAACTTGGTAGCTATAGTACATATAAAATAATACAATAAATCTTCAGGGACGTACTGTCATGATCGTGATGACGGCTAACCTGAAAACCTTAAGGATTCATATTACGCTCAAACGTCCACAAAACCTTCCGAGTCCCCCAGTGGAAACGTCCCCCGTTTTCTCTGTTTCCTTGATGACGTCATCGATAGGCCGTCTTTGTCTTAAGGGAACTTTGAATATAATCCGCGGATTTTGTAGCAAGACGCTGTATGTTGGGACCTGTTGCCATCCAACCCTTTGTAATCAGTTAAATTTTGCTTTTGATAGCTCAGTCAGAGCATTGTTAGTGAGGATAATAGTAGGGAATGAAACTGAGTTCATAGTCTCAGTTTCAACGTCAGAGTGTACAGTAAATTAATTCATCGAAATAAAAGTAGGTGGACTCCCTGGCCTATTTTGAGTGAGGGTGCCGCGGGCATTTCAACGGTTAGTAAGTGCTCGCCCTTCACCCATACAGGTAGGCCATTCCACTCTGTGTTGTAATTCGCCCTTCTTTAAGTGATTTGACCCAATTAATAGTTGATTGTTACAGTAACGTAGTTAATATGCTCTGAGTGAAGTCATATTTACGTCTTTAACGTCCCCTGAAATGTGATGTCGTCACTGTTAGTAAGTGCTCGCCCTTCACCCATACAGGTCCCTAACGCAGCCTAGGCCGTGTCTGTAGCGTGGATGTTGTATCCACTTATGTCTGGGGAGATGTCCGAGGTCCAGTAGGATCAGTTACCTTCGTGAGACCCGGCCGTCAGACACTTCAGACTACCTATGGCCCCCATAGCTGGCTCGTCTGGCCCTAACGCTTGGCCTGCGAGGTGACCCCGGATCACCAAGCCACACACCACTACCAGCCCCCATCATTGGTGGATGAGTGTCTAACTCCGTAGGGCTATTTGTATGGTGGGGTTAATCCACTGGGATCTTCAGAGTTCGTCGGAAGTACCCCATGGTGGCAGGACCCCATGGCGGATGCTTGAGTAGCACTCCTGACGACTGAGTGTTGTAGTGGCAGTTGCCCCTGGTCTTTATGGTGATAAGTGACTATAAGAGTTGTGTGTTATTGAGTATGTCCACCCAGTAGTGGTGTGAGTATGTTGAGCCTGAGGGCATAGTACCAGATTTCGTCTGTTGGTACATATATATTCTTTCTCCTACTGCCATGTTAATGTTTAAATAAATTTTGTATTTGTATATTGTGTCTATTATTTACCTACAGTATTTACCGTTATTTCTTCCCTATTACTTGATACTATCATTACATAAACCCACGAGCCTCCTCTCGTCACGCTACCAATGGTAATAAGTATGAGAGTAAAAGGAATTGTTACTGACACACAGGCCCTTATAAAATGGTGGCAGCCCAGGCCCTCATAAAATGGTGGCAGCTCAGGCCCTCATAGTACAGTACTGTATGTGACTGAAGAACTATTAATACATATACTGTACTGTACAACAGGTCAAGGATCCTTTATCTAAAAACCTTGGGGCTAATTGTGTTTTGGTATTTAGATGCTGTATATTCAGGTTTGGATGCCTAGCCTACTTATTAGTACAATACATGCCTGTGTCTAGGCTAGTCAATACAGGCTCAGATCCAGATCTCTTGCATCTAAAATTCTTTCACAATAAACATGATTTTGCGCTAGGTTTCAATAACGTTTGATTTGATCTACTCTTGTAACACTGTAGGTAAAACATTAAGTAGTGTGTACTGTACCATATTTCACCTATGATATACTAACACATCTAGCCACATCCAGTTGTTGCTGTCTTAGGATATTTTAACACTAAACATGATTTTGTCTGTGTATACATTAATATTGTACAGGTAGCTAAAAAGTTACCAGTGATTAGTGTGAACACAGAAGTTTGTGGGTTATAGGTTAACATAATGAAGATAGCATCAGTCAGGTCATTAGGCCAGCTGCTCTGCAGACTCAACCTGTATTTATTTATGTTAATGCAACTTACTGCTCATGTAATGTGTTCCATTGCTGTCTTTGTTATACTGTAAGGGTAATTGATACTACTGGAATATTTACCAAACCTATAGGTAATGTGCAAGCTGGAAATTTCTTCAGGAATTACTCTTCCAAACATGAACATGGGTTATACGTATCTACAAAAAATCACTTGGTTAAATTATTTGCTGAGGGGGGATAATTACACTATAATTACCCAATATTCCACAGATATAAATTTTCTGCATATATCAATGCAAACAAAACAATGCCTTGCTAGGACTTCATCCCTGAACTGATAGGATGCAAATCCTAGGAGACAACCACCCAGTTAACAGCAGGTTAACAGTTACGGCTTGCCCGTGAAACCTCCACTGTAACCCTGCGACAACTACCATTGTGTAATTACCCTGCTTGTTCAGTAGATATGGCTATATTTTATATTACTTTGTTCCTGTATGTAATCATTGTTTAATATGACTGTATTATACATATTAATTTATAATATGTGTATTAAATAAATCAGCCTTATGTTGTGTATTAGTTAGGTATAATAGTACAATGATTGGTGATGTGGTATCAGCACTGTGTGGGTCACTGGTCCACCAGCTCAGCCAGTAAGTGGGGAGAGGCAGATGAGCCTGGCTGGTGTGAGGGTGTAGTCCAAGTGTGGTACAGTTGGTCTGGATATATTTACATGGAGATAAGTGGTTTACACTTTTGTATTGTTCAAATGTATGATAAGGCTGAGGTTAGGGTTTAGGTTAGTTTAGGCTGTGGTTGTCTGTACAGTTTTTCATTTGTTCTTTAACTTGTCCTTTGTATATATGTTCTATAATTTTAGTATGTAAAGAAATTATAGTGTATGATTCCTCCTCAATATGATACATATATCTTGAGTTAATATGAGGCTTATTAAGACCTGGTGGCAATAATATTAGTCATTATAATGTTTACCCTGCTTGTTGTTGTGACCACTAGTGGCAGGGGTTTATTTCTCTATGCTTTCACGGTCAAGCCTCACCTCTTATTTGACGAGTGGCAAATTCTAGATAGAGGAATGATGGCATAATATTGTACAGTACATTGTTTTTCACCACTTATCAGCTTACTACTGTAGCTATTTGGGCAGTTGGTCTGTTCTTTGTTACTCTGTTGTGAACTTTATTGCCCAATGTTAATACAGGGGGAAACCCACGATGTTAGGTAGGGTCACTCTGGATAACACCCTTCTCATGTATGTTCCAGGCCCGGACCACAAAAGACAACAACAGTTGTAGTATGACAATATTGAAGGTTTCCACAGGCTAAACATGACTTAATCTGCTGGGGGCTGATTGGTTACCCCTGGGATTTGCATCCTGACTCTTCTGGAATCAAGTCCTGACACAGGGTTTGAATTAGTTAACCCAAAATTTGGTAATCATCCTTACTTGAAGGTGTCAGGGATACTAGTCCATGCCTTACTCTTACATGTAGACACTGCACTCGTTTCCCCTGTGGGCCTGAGGGAGGAATAAATTATTCAGAATACCGGGTATTTTATTTGGCAAGTATTAGATACTGTATCACACATAATATAAAGTTTATTAATACTATATCACTTAAAGTTAGAAAATAATTACAAAAATGTTTCATTTGTAACTAAGCTATTGCCCAAACTAAGTCAAAATCCTTGATTGCTAAGACAATCATAAGATATTTTTTTTTATTCTTGTGCAATACTCCTGGGCTTCAAATAAATTTATAACTCATTATACAGCACTCTATTACCTGTATTTCTTTCCAAGTATCAAGTAGGATCTCAACCTAAGATATAAGTACAGTATTGATATTTGTGGCCCATTTTTTGGATCACATCACATATAAAGTACTTTATGATTGAATTAGTTAACTTTGTAATACTGTATTGAAATGTTATCATCTTGGATATTAAAGATATGTTAGGTTAGGTCAGGCATCCTCCAAACTGATAATGTTTCAATATATCCCCTGCCATTACCTAGTAACAATACAATAGAGAAACACTTTGGCAATAAGGATGAAAAAAGATAACAATGGAATTTCGTCTTTCTCTTTACAGTTTATGTTATGGCATTGAAGTGTTATCTTCTGCCTGCAAGTGTCTAAAGAATGTGATAATTTGTTAATGCGTTAAATGACTGGTATTGCTTGTTTACTGTATCTCATTTATCTATATTCATCCCTCCCAAATTATCTCCATCCCTACCCCCTCCTTCTCTTCCTTTTTCTATAACACACTTACTTGTATCCTGACAAACATGTATAAGTCAACACTGTTCCATCGCTCCTCTCCGATTTATCCCAATTACTGGATGTGTGAACATGGACTGGTGGATCAGAGTGGCATCTCCTGTCTGGCAAAACCAAATTCAGTCATTGTTAATAATTTTGGATATAATGAAGATTAGGAACCTCGTTTATTACACCTAATGATTAAACACCCTAGTCTTCATAACATCCCATATTTCTATTCACAGGGCCCAAACCAAACCTTTTATATGCCAGCAACAAACATTAAAGTTTATAGAACACTGTTTGAATAATATAGTACTGTATACTGCATAGGTATACCTGTATGTATGTGTTAGCCCCTGTCTTATAGGCAGAAGTATTTATATAAATGGGTTAATTACATTAGACTTATATACTCTATCACCCCCTGTAACTTTCCACTGGCTATGAGGCTCATGTTCAGAGCACGTGATAAGGTGTGACACGGGAAGTCGTGTCACTTGGTGCTGAGCTAAGGATTAAGTAACTGGCTCTCTGGCCACCTATTGCTGGCAGTAGTTTGATATCACTCACAAGAGGAAGACATTAATTAGAGCCATCGTGAATGGTTCCGTCTTCCCTTGAGGGAGGACGTCGGATATATTTCCTTTCTCCTTCGACGGGTCCCTATTCCTACTCACTCAAACTCTCACATCGACAGAACTTACTTAGCAGAGCTATTTAAAATAGCCTCCGTCCTCATTTAACACTCTTAGCTACAGTGATAATCGTTTTTGAAAGTATACATAGAAACCTTTTATAATAAATACCAACAAAGGAACATATTAGATTTCACTACAGAAGATCCAATAAACTTTGATCTATATTTTAGTAAGTCTAAAATATAAGGTAAAGTGCTTCACAAGTGATTGTTACAAGTGGTGACAACCCAGGAAGGTTGTTACATATTTGACAGTTTCACAAGTAGCTGTTATATTCACAGTAACAGTCACCTCAGCAGATACAGTGTTGGTAAAGGAAGAGATATTATATTCTCCCCATTACTGTGTTACGTTGTTATTAAGAAGTAAATCGTTACATGTAAAGAGGGAGGAAGCTGTTGGGTGAATACAGCACTCTCTTCCTGACCCAATGGTTCCAACATGTTAAAAGCCCGATGCATTACAGAGAGGAGCAACCCACCAAGCCACTGGACCTCATCATAACAAACGTAATATCCTTGACACCAGCCACCACGTAATATCCTTCACACCAGCCACCACGTAATATCCTTCACACCAGCCACCACGTAATATCCTTCACACCAGCCACCACGTAATATCCTTCAGATTTAACGGGATGAGGGAGGAGATGAGGGGTATCCACTAGCCTGAGTCACTAAGGCATAAGAACGCAGACACTACGCTGACTATCATAGCCAGTAGAGTGAATCATTTGATCGAAAAATATATACCCAAGATCAAAACCAGTGTCTCTTGGAATACAAGGAGACCGCTCCACATGAACAAAGTTAAGAAGAAAACCCAGATTTTCAAGGAGTGGGTTAGGTCAATCGATGAGCAGGACAGGAGGATGTATGTAAGATCCAGGAACCAAGCAAAGTCAGAGTGAAGAAGGGCTGAAAAGGAGTTCCAGAGGCTGATTGTAAGTGAGGGCAAGTCAAACCCAAAGGCGTTTTACCGCTACGAAAAGTCAAAATTAAAAACGCGAGTAGGAGTATCGGACCTGAGGCTTGAAGGTGGTAGTTACGCAGATTCTGACCAGGACAAAACGGAGGCATTGAGCAGTTTCTTTTCCTCCGTGTTCACAAGAAGGGATGTGAGCAATCTTCCTGTGTTTGAGGACAGATGGTTAGACACAGAGCTGACCCACATTGTGTTCACAGAAGAGGTTATAAGAGTGCTAAGAGAGTTGTGCAACGAGCTTGCTGATCCCCTGAAGATCCTGTTTTGTAAATGCCTGGATGATCAAAAGGTCCCCAGTAATTGCAAAATGGCTTATGTGAGTCCTATTTTTAAGAAGGGCGATCGTCACTCCATGAATAATTATAGACCGGTGAGCCTGATCAGCATAGTATATAAAGTACTTGAGAGCATTATAAGAGATGTCATGATGGAACATCTACTACAAAACAACCTTGTAAAGGATTGCCAACACGGCTTTATGCCGGGATGCTCCTGCTTAACACAACTACAGTACTCAAGGTACTGGATGTTTGGACCCAAATTCTGCAACAGTGTACGCCATGAAAGGCTGAAAATTAAACTGGAAGGGTACGGTATTCAGGGAAGTGTCCAAGCATGGATCAAAGACTTTCTCAATAATCGCAAGCAGTGTGTGGTGATTAATGGCACAAAATCGTCACGTGTACCCGTGACAAGCGGGGTACCACAGGGCCGTGTATTGGGCCCGCTGTTGTTTGTTTGCTTCATAAATTACATGCCAGAAGCTGTACACTCCACCATACAAATGTTTGTGGATGATGCCAAGTCATTTATGGAAATTAAGAATCAGACTGTGAAGAGCTGCAAAAGGATCTCTGTGAGCTTCAAGAATGGTCAAAGAAATGGCTGCTAAGATTCAATGTCACGAAGTGTAAGAGGATGCATCTGGGACGTACCAACAGAAAGGAAGTTTATCATATATCCCAACGGGACGAAGAAACTGCATTAATTGAGACTGAATGTGATAAGGACCTAATTGTGTATGTTGACAATGAACTGAAGTTCTCGGGCCAAGGTGAGAAAGTGAACCACGCAACTAAATTATTAGGTCTTATAAGAAGGTTGTTCAGATATCTAGACGGTTCATCCCTTGTAACAATCTTCAATAGCAAGGTAAGCACCTTGTAAGTAAGTACCCCGCCTGGAGTACTGTCACCCAGTCTGGTCCCTGAGGTATGCTAGGGATTGTCAGTAGATTGAAGATGTCCAAAGGAGGGTCACCGGACTGGTGCTTGCACTTCGGCACCTCTGCTACCCTGAGACATTAGAGTGCCTGCAATTGCCGATCTTATATTACAGACAGGCAAGGGCACTACTCAGTCGAGTGTCCTTACCTGAAGCTGGCGGATGCTTGCCCGGCAAGGGGTCACAGCTCAAGGTTGAAGAAACCGCAAGCCCAGAAAACTTTGAGGGCAAACTTTTTCGGGGTGAGAGTTGTGACCTCGTGGAACAACCTGCCAGAGTGTTGTAACAGTACCGAGTGTGAGCTCTCTCAAGGCCAGACTTATCAATGCTGGAGCAGGTTCAGATACATTCAGGAGCCAGTGTATGCCCAGTATTTGCCAACAGTGCATAACAGAGACGTGACTGACTGCCCAAGCGGCTAAGGAGCTGATCAGTTGTGAAGAGGATAAAAGTAAAAAGTAAAAAAGTTACTGGTTCAAGTTTCTCAGCCAGTTATTAAGTGGGCTACCAAGTCAACTTAGATGCAAAATAGACGCCTAACTTTACAGTTAAAGTTTAGTGCTAAAAACGGCAAAAATGTCTTATAATTTCAAGTTTCATAAATACATGCAGACAAACTAATAATTTTGTTATTATAAAAAGTTCCCCTATTTTCCATGGGGAACAACTTTTCAATCCCAGTGAAATTTTTGCATTTTTTTTACTCTAGTTTTTGCAATAACTTTGCCACCATAAAATTCCATTTTACAAAATGACTGTCATGATACTTTCTCCTTCTAAATTTAACTTTTGAATACATTTGCCAATTTTCACCCAAATAAAAATCATATGATGTGCAAGAAACACTTGACTACTGCATATATAAGTGTGGCAATTAGGAGCCCAGCTGGACAATGGACAAAATATTTCCTGCACACTTATATTGAACCATCCTTACCTATCGACCATGCAAGCAATGTACAGTACTGTGCAGTATTTGTACAAAAATGACCCTTATCATTTGCAATATTTTGGTAATGATTATAATGAAATGGAAGCTACATATAATATATAGTATAACATCTGTAAAGTGGTATTAATGTAAATAATATACACTTTGATATCTGTAATATAACTTTTTAAAGTCATTAACCCCTTCACTACAGATACACCACTTTTAATATTTTACTTAATTAGCGCCAGATGATTTTATTCAACACAGATGGGACCCCATACACAAGGGGTTAGAAGCCTATTCATATATAAAAATAGTGCCCTGTGCCCTGGATACAAAGGTAAGACCTAACACATGGTCACTGTCACCACCAAGAAATTAATATACCTGCACCTGTACTCCATACCTAAACTTGTACAGTACAGTACAGGGTACTTATACTGTACTGATGTTCCTGAACAACCTGAACAACCAGGAGCGAACTCATAACAATGGTTTTAAATTAGACAAATTTAGATTTAGGCGCGAAATAGGTAAACATTGGTTTAGAAATAGAGTAGTGGATGAATGGAACAAGTTACCAAACATCATCATTAACTCGAATACGCTGGATAACTTCAAACATAGGTTGGATGGATATATGAGCAATAGGGGTTGGGTGTAAGTGGGACTGCCCAGTATGGACCAATAGGCCCACTGCAGTTTCCTCCATTCTTATGTTTTTATGAAACTAAGCACAACAGGGCTGTAACAAGGTGTGACCCAGTATGAGGTTATAGTAACCAGGTACTGCATAAAAGTGACTCCAGTGACAATGGTACCATACTATACCTTCCATGCAGGTGAGGTCAGCAGGCAGTGCAGTCCAGGTTAAAGTCTCATGGTCACACACTGACACTGCTCTGTCTCCCGACATGCTCAACCTGGGGGGAAGAGAGATCATGTGCCAAATCATGTCAGTGGCATGAGGATACATGATACTTCTAAGTCTTATCAATAAAACAAAGAAGCATATCACATGTCCCGACGGAATAAGAAAATATCATTTGCTGACACCAAGTGTAAAAGGGGCCTGAGTGTTTATGTTGACAACAAAGTGAAATTCTTGGATCATTGTGAGAAAATGGTAAATCAGGCAAATAAATTAGTAGGGTTTAAACGAAGATCATAAACATACCTAGACGGTCTTTCCCTCAAAAGGCTATTCGATAGTGTGGTGCTCTCCCACTTAGAGTACAGTCATTCTCAGTGCCGGATTTAGACCTGTGGAGGCCCATGGGCAGCCTCTTTGTGGAGGCCCCCCTCATTATAACTACCCAAGAGGGTGGGGTGGTGAGTGAAGCGAGCCTAAACATCTGGGAGTTCCGGGGGACGCTGTAAGCCCCCCGGGAAAATTTTGAAATTTGAACACTTCTTTGGAGAATTTTGAAGCCATATGCAGTTATATTGAGGAAATTAGACCATTGAGAAATTTTTAATTAACTGTATATTTATTGATAGTGTACAAATTCCCAACACACACACACACACACAAAAGTGAGACATGACTGGAGTCATTCATGTGGTTTCAAGTCGACCAGCCCTGATATAGCTACTACCGCACATGTCAAAAATTTTCAAGAGACTTCACAGAAAAGAATATATTATTAGTTATTACAGAGAGATGATTCTTTGCATTATTAATCAGATAAACCTCTACTCAAATAATGGTTCTGTCCAAGAATGCATGTATAGGCTTCTTTAAGTCCAAGGTCAGATGTAATATGTGGAGGCCCCCAGAATGTGGAGGTCCCTGGGCAGCTGCCCACTCCTGAATCCAGCCCTGGTCATTCTGTTTTGTCCCCGAGATATATTAAAGACTGCCAGTTGACTGATTACATGTAAAGGAGAACCACCAAACTGCTGCCTGCACTTAAGGACTTCTTGTACAGGGGTACCAAGGGAGGTTAGGATGTCTTCAACTGCCTAGTTTATACTATAAACAGGCAAGGGGTTATGTAATTGAAGTTTATAACACCTCAATAAACATCACTTAGTGAAGTGTTCATACCTGGAACTAGCAGATGCCCGCTCCACAAGAGCTCACAGCCTCAAGCTAAAGCCACAACTACAGGAAATTGTCATAACTTACTCTTGGAAAGTACTGTGATTGAACTGTGTCTAAGCTCAAAGATGGACTCGATCAACACTGGCACACGTTTTGGTACATTTTGGGGTTAAAATAACAAGCATAAAGCTTCAATATCATTTATATTGCAAATCAATATTAACGGAGTATTTCAAAAAATTCTAGGCGTAAATTTCTGTATCCGCCATGTTGCCCAAGTCATTTCTCTCCTACTCTCCTCACTTTTCTCCTCTCCTCCTCTTTGCGACATGACAACCAATGATCTTCAAGTATCGTGTCATGTGACTTGGCTGGCCAATCATTTTGAAGCAGCCATTATGAAGGCTGAACTTATGAAGTAGCCATTTTGAATTATCTAACCTTTAATCAGCGAGTTCATCAGAACAATAGTGAAGTAATCCAAATATTGCAAGATCACGGCGTCCTACCAACATGAAGACTGTGCCCTACGTGTGGATTTTTTTTATTTTTAAGAAAAGACGAATTATTTTTTCTAAGCATATGAGATCGCCCAGCTGTATCCCCCACCACAGTAGCAGGTAAGCTCCAAAAAATGGTTAGGTTGGGTTAGGTTAAGCGAGGTCAGGTTAGGTTTGTTTTTGTTTTTAATGTTTTATAGTGTGTTTTACTCGAACCTGACCGCCATTTTGGTGCAAATTGGTGGTTTCTGTTACAAATGATTTTTTTTTTCAGAAACCGCTAATTTGCGCAAGAAATGGGGGTCAGATTTGAGTAAAACACACCATAACACACCCCAAAAAATTATTTTTGTCTCAAAATTTGAGGGCAGCCAATGGAAAAATATTTACCCATTTTAGAGAAAGTGAATTTGCCAATAGTGCATAAGAGGCATGACCAACCATCCCTGCTAGAACAAGATACGAATTACCAGTGCCGGATGTAGACCTGTGGAGGCCCATGGGCAGCCTCTTTGTGGAGGCCCCCCTCATTATAACTACCCAAGAGGGTGGGGTGGCGAGTGAAGCGAGCCTAAACATCTGGGAGCTCCGGGGGGCACTGTAAGCCCCCCAGGAAAATTTTGAAATTTGACCACTTCTTTGGAGAATTTTGAAGCCATATGCAGTTATATTGAGGAAATTAGAACATTGAGAAATTTTTAATTAACTGTAGTTTTATTGATAGTGTACAAATTCCCAACACACACACACACGCGCACAAAAGTGAGACATGACTGGAGTCATTCATGTGGTTTCAAGTCGACCAGCCCTGATATAGCTACTACCGCACATGTGGAGGTCCCTGGGCAGCTGCCCACTTTGCCCACTCCTGAATCCGGCCCTGCGAATTACTATATTGGTATACGTGATAACAAATTTGACCAGACATTAGTCAATGCAGTATCACCGGTGGTACAGTGGTAACGCGTGTAACTCTCACTAATATGTCTAGGGTTCAAGCCTTGGCCCGGACATACGTGAGAAGGGTGTTATCCAGTGTGGCCCTACCAAACATTACATGTTTCCCGGTCCCTGATTTTCTCCTGTACTGACACTGGATAAACGGTATTATTGCGTTTAAACATTCCCACTTCATACCACTAATCTATTATCATATTCTAATAAGACGTCTAATTATAAGATCATTTTCATCTATTACATTACCGTCGGAAATGTATATTAACGGAGATAGCAAATCCAAAATTTTCTCTATTTTCTTTCATTAATGAAGACCATTACCGCCTGCCTCCCCTCCAACACTGCGAGTCTCCTGCGTCTCCTTCATAAATCATCACTCGCATGCGTTCCCGTACACGTCACACGATCAATCAAAAGCCTTTTTTTTGCAACCAATTAAAATGATTTTGGGTTTAATTCGCGGTATTTTTGGACCAATCAAAAACGATTTTTATTTTGGGTCTCATATTTCGAAATTCAAGTTCAGCGACCATGGAAGTCTGCGATGGGTGTCACTTAAATTATATGGAACTGATTGCGAGTTTTTTGGAAAAAAACGGAAGAAACTATAGCATTTTTTCGATCGCATGGTCTTCTTCCAACCTCAGTAAAGTGTACTAAGAGCAAGACAGAATATAAATATCGCCAAGACCAACATATGTGGCGTTGTGTAAGAATCTCAGAATCCAACGACGAACAAGAACCAGGTCTCCAGGCCAACTAAGGTAAGAAATAGGTGATTCCATCATATGGTGAGAGTCAGTTAGGTTAGGTTAGGTTTTTGTAGTGTGTTTTGGTGTATTTTTTATTCGACTAGCGATTAATTTTTTTCGAAAAACGTCTCTCGAAAAAAATTCAATAAAAAAAACCTGGCCAATTTCCGACTGAAATAAAGGTCATATTCGGTCGAAACACACAAAATACAATAGAAAAATATATTTTTAACTTTCTAACAGATGGGGAGGTGGAAGTGCAAATATACCGGATAATTTACCGGATAACCGCCCGAACGGTTGGTGTAAGCTGAAAGTAGGATATATATATATATATAAAAATATATATATATATATATATATATATATATATATATATATATATATATATATATATATATATATATATATATATATATATGTATGTATATATATATGTATATATGTATATATATATATATATATATACATATATATATATATATATATATATATATATATATATATGTATATATATATATATGTATATATATATATATATATATATATATATATATATATATTTTTTTTATGAATAGCCCATCCACAGGTCATCGACCCACATCGGGCCCTAGGGGGCGAAAACAAAATAATAAAAATAAATAAAAAAGGAAAAGGTTATATTAATCTACACCACGAAGATGCCGGAAAATCAGCTTTTTAAAGTAAGACATTATATGAGTGTGGAAACACAGAAGAAGGCAGAGCATTCCACAGTTTGGCTGTGTGAGGAAAGAAAGGTGTACTACAACGGTTATTCTAGTGTGACCGACATCCACAGAGAAACGGTGGGCACTTGGCACTGCGGGCAAGACGTGAGTTACGAGCCCACGGCCTTGCCGGCGGTACACAGGATGCCAAATCCACCGAACGTTGGCCGTTAAAGTACCTGTAAAAGAGAGAGAGTGAAGCAACATTGCGGTGAAGAGAAAGGGAAGAGAGATTGCCTTTGATTCCACCCTATCTAACAGCTGGACAGAAGAGCCGGGGTTATGAGAGCAGTACTCCAAGTTAGGACGAATGCATCCCTTATATACTCGAAGCAACTGCTCAGGAGTGAAGTAGCCACGTCATCTGTACAGCAATCCCAGCTTTCGGGAGGCAGCTTTAGAAATGTTGAGGATGTGTGGCTTCCATGACATATTAGAGGAAATGGTGAGGCCTAGCATATCTATTTTAGAATTTGGGAGAATGATAGCGTCCCGAAATGTGATTGGTAATGGCGTTCAAGGTGACGGAGAAAATGGGAGTTCAAGATAGTTTCGAAAATCTTAGAGAGGGATGAAGTTAGGGCCATGGGGCGATAGTTAGAGGGATTAGAATGGTCACCCTTCTTTGGGATGGGCTGAACCAAGGCATGCTTCCAAGAAGAAGGAAAAGTTTGGGTTATGAGGCAAAGGCACAGGGGCCAGAACTTCAGCACACTCCCTCAGAACACGAGGAGGTACTCCGTCCGGTCTATGCGACTTACATCCAACCTGGATAATACACCAATGATTTAACACTAAAGAATTTTAAAGTGACGAATAAATAGAAATATGTCACCGTGTTAAGTGTTCTATTTTAAATTATTATTGTTTCATGATTTATTTCAGTTTTTACTTAAATATTCAACACCTAAT